GGAAAATAATGGACTGGTATCTGTTCCCATGCTCATCACCCTTGGACAGAAGACGTCCAACCGACAGCTGGGGGTGGCAGCATGGCCATATTTTATTGCTATTGTGATTTACATCACTATCATTTTCTGAGCACACTGGATATCGTCAGTACTTAAAGACACTGAGCCACTAAACGGTTCATTACGGAGAGGGCAATTATAAGTCCTGGGGTTTAGTGCAGCATACTACATGGATAGTGAATAATACTTGAGTTTTGCAAGTTTTTCCATTAAACAATTACAATTATGGCCAATAAAACATTGAAGAGCAAACAAGTATTAAGCAAACACACAGAAAACGAATAACTACGTAAGAAATAGAATCAGTAAATGAGTAGGTATAAATTAATTGATTTAAAATATCCCAGATCAGGAAAACAGAAAAAAATTGGTCAACATCTCGAATATGGTGGTTTTTGAGTCGTAACTAACAGCTGTACCATATCATGTCCTGAGTTATGCAGTAGCATGTTCAGAAATTAGGAAATTTGTGTTTGAAATGAGGCGTTCTTTCCATAATAGACTGATACTGTTCTGATGTCACTGTGATGTCACGGTTGAGGCCATTGAGTATTAAATGCTACGACAGAAAACCACTGGAAGAAAATTACCTCCATAAGATGAAATTGGAAGTAGCTGGAGTCTTTTTTTTTTTTTTCCCTCCTTGCCACCTTTTCCCATGCATATTCTCACACACAGTCACTGTGTATGTGTGTGTGTGTGTGTGTGTGTGTGTGTGTGTGTGTGTGTGTGTGTTCGCTGAAGTGCTTATTTTCACTCTGACCTCGAAGCAGAACGGAGCAGTAATGTCTGATTCTACTTAGCTTCAGGAGCCGTGTATTCATTTTTAAAGGAGATGTCAGGCTTTTGGATAATTGGATATCTCACAAACCCAGCAGTATGAAGGCGCTGCTCTCAGCCAGGAGTCGGGCTTAAAGAGATGCTCTGAAACGTTCCTATTAAAAGCTGTATTTTTTAGTCTTTCATAGTCCTGATGTGCCTCTCATACTTCTCAAATGAAGAAAGAGAGATGTCAGCTTTGATGTTCTTGACAAAACTCCAGCTTGGCACCTCTGTCATGTCATGTGATGATGTCATTTTACTGATTAGTCAAGTCAGTCCTGCCATGTGTTGCTACACTGCAGTTGGAACCTGTCTACACTGATTGAGATGGAAGTAATGAGGCTTATCAGTCCACGTGTGTAAATATGAGGCATGCAAAGGAATCGTTCAGTAACCAGGTTGTGGCAGTGGTTAACTATTTGTTTAATAAAGTCCAAGGAGCGGTCCTACCATTTTTCATATTTTTTTTTATGTATTTGCCTTGTCACTAGGTGGACCTGTAGGTACACCTGGAGTTGTGTGTACTGGGATTCAGGATGGTGGCAGAATAACCGTATTAACCAAAGTGTGGCCTAAAGTGTGAGCAAGTTCACTGTTTTTAGAGAAATAAATACATGAAGTAGCAAAGCTTGTACATACCTTGGTTGGTGCTGGACGATATTGATCAAATTCAATATTGCCAATTTAATTTATCAAAATTAAAGAAATGACCCAATTTTTTGCCATTTTCAGCTTTTTTCAGGCAGTTACATACATCGCAGTTTACAGACAGGATCTTGGACACCGTATCGCTGTTGTTGGAAGAAAACCTCGTACCTCCAAAATGGTAACTTTTACAGGAGAAGGAAAAAACCTACTTTACATTTAATGTAAGTCAATGGAACCAGACTTTTTTCCCCAAGTCATTTTGGGTCATTTCTTTTAGTCCATTCATTGTGAAATTTATATACAGTGTGAAGGGAAACAGGGATTTTCAAATTATGTCAAAAACTGAATGTCAGAAATGGAGATACAAGGTTTTCTTCCAATAGCGGCGATATGTAAAGTTCACAAAATAGAAAGGAAAATAAGAACAAACTGCTTGTTAACAGGGACACTGCCATTTTTTGGAATAGAATGGATGTAGTATTAATTCTAATATTGAAAAACTGTGTTGGTACCAGTATCAGCACAACTTTTTCATAACTTTGTATGTATTTACATTCTCAGGTAGGTAGATATGACTGTACACCTAGAGTTGGTATGTATTGACATTCAGTATGTAAATATAGTAACTTTATTAATCCAAAGTACGGCTTAAAGTGTGACTAATACACTGGGCTTGTTATAATACTGCTGAAACTGAAGATCAGTGTTGATACCGGTACTAGCACAACTCTCAAGTTATCAAAGATAAGCTTTCTAAAAGCCCTTTTTTTTGGTCAGCACTGACTCTTAGAGGAGAGCGTTCCGTATCGCTGCTGTCGGAAGAAAACCTTGCATCTCCATTTTTGTCGTTTTTCAGTTTTTGATATCATTTGAAATTGCCTGTTGGCCTTTACATTGTGTGCAAATTTCATGAAGGATGGGCCAACAGAAACAGCCCAAAATTACTTGGAAAAAAAGTCTGGTTCCATTGACTTGCATTAAAAGTGAAGTAGGTTTTTTCCTTCTCCTGTAAAGTTACCGTTTTGGAGGTGCGAAGTTCATAGCCACCTCTGAAACTGAAATTGATCTATTGGTCTATGCTGTGCATACCAAGTCAACACTGTAGGAAAATAAATATATAAATAATTACATGCTTCAAATTATTTATTTATTTGGCTACCGGTTTTTTAGAGTAGTCGTCATTCCACTGATCGATTGATTGAGCACCACATTATCAGTCAGCTGTGCGCTCTGCATACTGTGCTTGCAAAAGCCCAGCCTGCCTGGTTGGCCGTATATCCCAGTCTAGAGGGGGTGGGGGGAGGGGAACACCAGGATAGAGCCGAGTATAAGGGATTTTATTCGCTATTTATCCGCCGTTCTTTCATCTGCCGACCACGCTGCTCATTATTTACGTGTGTTTTGGACTGCCAGCTGTGACATTCACCCATCGTGGCTACCCAGACGAATAGGTTTGAGTTGCACAAGCACTGCTTACTGATTGCTAGAGAGGGAAACACGAATGGGTTGTGCTCTCAGTATCCAGAGAAACGCTGTTCTCCTCCACACACTCCTCTGGAGGTGGAGAGCCATCTAGTGTCAGCTGAACACTGACCCCAGACAGAGGTGCAGCCGAGCCTGCGCCGGGATGGCGTGCAAGCCGAACGTTCTCCATATAAACCCTCAGATGAGATGGAAATAAAGCACCTTTTGTTTCAGTGTTAATTCACTCTCGTTCCACCTTTAAACAAAAAGGCACTGAGTCAGTGGAGAACCCTCCTGATTCATCTGTTTCCACAGCAACAGTGAAAGACCATGCTCAGTCTGCCCCCTACTGTCGGCCCACGTCTTCTCAAAGAGAAATCATTGTGTGTACCGCAGATCACAATGTCAAGTGAAGTAATATTGTCCCAAAAATATGTTAACAAACCCTTAACCTGGTTTCAATGCATGTTGTAATTATTTCTAGTGATTTGGGGCCTTTTGCTGCTTCTGGTCAAAAACTTGTGGCTTGCACTGCCCCTAGTGGCTAGAAGCTATTACTGCAGCCCATTCTGTTTTGGGGTTTCCAGACTTTTGTTTGCCTCTTTACAGAAAGTGTTACCCACACATTTTGAGAAAATACGCATTTGTAAAAGTTATGTTTATATGGAGACAGACTTTTTGCAGCCTCCTTAAGAGAAAGATTTTATCGCAGCGTTTATTCACATGGGTTTTTATGAATGTGCAGAATTATTTGTGTTGTTATTGTGGATGGTGAAAGTACAAAGCTATTTGATTTAAGCTGCTAAAGGCAGTTAGGTGTAAATAAATGCGTTTCTAATCCCTGTACTTTGTCAATAATCCTTCGACAACCTGAACCAAAACATTTTTAAACTAATGGACATGAGAATTTTTGACATGGAGAGTAATTTTTGGAAATTAATTCTCTAAAAAGAAAAAGAAATCACGCTTGTATGACCACAGTAGTTACATGTTCAGCTGTTTGATGACTGGCATCCAACCAACTTATTTGAATTGAAATTTCAAGAAATTTCATGATGAATGGAGCAATAGAACCGATCTTAAATTCACTCAGCAGCAATCTTGCACTAACTTCTATTGAATTTCGATATAAGAGCGTTATTTAAGAGCATTTTTTCCTTCACATGTAAATTTTTGGACAGACAAGGTTCTGTTCCAATAGTGGCTGTATAAATGTCATGTTAATAACTTTTGCACAGTAGTAATTATTAGAGTGCAAATAAAAACTCCACAACTTTAACTGGTGGTTTATTCACAATTTAAAACCAACAGAAAATTATGACATGGTTTAAAAATATACAGTAAATGTACAATAACAAACTGGAAACATCTATTTATAGTAATTTCTTGGCATTAAATTATGAATAATTGTTTGATTTGTGAGATTTAATCACTGTTTTTCAGATATAAAGCATTCTGTGTTCATTTTAAGTTCATCCTTAATGTTGTTCAACTTTCTCAATTATGAAAGAACAACCTGTTCATCAAAAAATTCATTATAAATAGTTTAAAACCTATAGAAGATGAGCATCATATTAATCATTTATTCATGCATTTGCAACAACATTGGTTTTATATTATTGAAAGGTTTTAAGTAATCATTTTTTTTATTAGTACTGTATATAAATGGAATAGTTGAACTATCTATAGAGAAATTGCAGTGGAGTTGTGCACCATGTAAAACTAAATCTCTTTTATTGTTATATTTTAAATTTTAGATTTGTTTTGATTAATGAAATAGAGTGTGACCTTCTAATGATTTCTTTCATGTATATCGTATGCTTGGTTGCAGTTCATTAAATGGCCAGCTGGTGCTCCTAAAGGGTTCCTGAAGAACCAGCCTGTGTGATGTGTGTGCCGATCACTATTTTTTGGCTATGTATGCTTCCCCCCCCCTAGTAGATTGTTTTCTGTACTTGCGTTTTAACCAAGGTCCCATATTTCTGTTTATTTTTATTTTTTTTCAGGTTATGTGATCTTATGGAGGTGCTCGCTGCCTGTTCTATCTGAATCATCTTACTGGAGACCAGGACAGACAGGGGGACTGTCTCTAACACCTTCGCTCCTGCTCTGGACAAAGTGTCTATAATAAATACCTTTCGCCTCAGTAAAGAGCCAAGATGATTAACTCAGAGTTCCCTGTTCTGCAGTAAGTAAAAACCCTATTAAAAAGACTGTTCACAGAGCTGTAATTAATTTTATAGAAATGTTGAGGTAGAATGATCAACTTATGTCATGTAGTTTGATGCTATAATTCTGTACAACTGCTGTAGCTTTCATTTTAAGCATGTTTGTGTTTGTTTGTAGGGACTCGTCTAACGAGTCTGGTCAGGGAGACACAGTGAGTCTGAGCCTCAGTGTTAGTGAGCTGGATGACACTGGAGAGGGAAAAGGCAAGAAGAAGAGAGGAAGGCCAGGGAGACCACCGGTATGGAGACCACTCACAATAATTTTTTCTTATTTCTCTTCTGTTCACATCAGGCATGCACCCAGATAGAAGTGTAATATCATGATAGAGACTTAACCTTTTATCCCTGGAAATGATCACACTGAGTTTGTTTACATGCACTTAATAATCCGATAACTGCAGAAAATCAGATTTTGTCAGAAATCCGATCCATGCGTTTACATGCACTTAATCAGATAAAGGGGAAACTCCGGGTCTATAAGAGTCAGACAGTAATCAGATTTCTGCTTTGCAACCAGCCAATAAACTCACAGAAGAAGACGTGACGTAAACGTAACATAAAACTCAAACTTCATGTTGCAGCTTGTCCTACAGGTACTTAATTTTTTTAAGACATCGAATCACTTTACCTGAAAATATGACACACATCATCTAGAAGATGAAAAATATTTAAATCCTTCATTTGGTCAAGCATGTATTTAGTTTCAGTGTCGCTCTAATTGTGTGTTGCTGTGAAGTTTTCCAAGTGTCTTGCGGTGATGATGCTCGCTTATTTCCGGTATCACCGTCTGTTTTCGCACATGAACAGACTGAGAAATCTGAAAGAAATCAGAGTAAGAGTTTACATGCATTCAAAAATCTGATTACTGAGCTGAAATCCAGCTCTCTTCATCGGATTTTTTAATCCGATTTCTAGACCTTACTCCGATCTAAGAAATCAGAGTGTGCTGTTTAAATGACCATTTGAATAATCAGATAACTGCAGAAATCTGATTCTGATCGTATTATTGAGTGCATGTAAAAACACTCCATGTTTTATTGAGAAAAGAATGTATAAGATACTGCACTGCACTGCACTGCACTGCACTGCACTGCACTGCACTGCACTGCACTGCACTGCACATTCATTCTTGACTGAATTCGATTTTTATCAATATTTCTTTCATGGAGAAAAGCTTCCCTGATAAATCTTTGTTTAACGGCGCTGCAGTAAAAAATGCAGTGATGGTATTTTAGTGTCCATGAAAGCAGTATGCTGTGTGTTGATTTATCTTGTACCACTGAATAATGGCACATATGATTAACTCTGAGCTTTGTAGTAAAGCAGGACACATTTTCAACTCATTTTCAAGGCAGTTCAACTTTATTATACATCTGTCTATATTTTTTGTGGTAATTACCTACAGAGCTGCCTGTTGGAGCAGGGAACGTATGTACAGTGTTAACTGTACAGTGCTAGAGCCTTCTAGGACTGGAGTTTGAAACTGTGAAATTTTTGCTCGTACAGCAGGCGTCCAATAAGAAGGCCCGCAAGTCTCCAGTTGACAAGGGGGGCAGGAGGCCCAATGGCATGGCCCAGCAAAATGGAGAAGGAGGAGACCCCACCACGCTGTTTGAAGTGGTCAAACTGGGCAAGAGTGCCATGCAGGTAACACTGAAATACATTCGCTCTGGAGCCTTTAGGTTACATTCTTGAGCTGTTTAAATGTAATTACACAATTAAAGTCATGATTACATCATAAACTACATTTACATTTGACTCACATTCTGTAACGACAGCTTTGGGTCTACACTACTGACATTTTTTTGCATTTTATTGTAGTTCTGCTAAAGTTCTACTAGTTTTTAAGGCTCTAAATGACCTTAAAGCTCTGTTTACATCACAGAGTCTCTGTCTGTTTATGATCTCAGATCTGCAGATACTGACCTTCTGCAAACACCTTCTGTAAAATACAGAAAACATTGAGAGACTCTTTCAGTTATTCTGCTTCTAAACTATGGAGCTCAGTTCACCTTTTATTAGACAGTCAATCTCAGTGCTCACTTTTAAGAAGCATCTAAAAACGTATCTCTTTAACTCAGTGTTTAATTAAAACATTTATTATTATTATTATTATTATTATTATTATCTAAAAGTTAAATGTTAAATTCTTTCTGCAAAACACTGTATAAACAATAACGTTTCATCACATTCAGATCATAATAAAATATTTCCTCTTCAATGTTTTCAATTATTCAATGTTAATTAAAATTTTAACAGAATTTTGTTTCAACAAGCTGCGAGTGAGAAACGATTTAAAATTACAACATGCTTTTGTTGTCATTGGCAAAGGGTTGGACTGGTGCCTCAACAGCTTTCATAGTTTTTTTTATGTTTATTTTCACACCGTTTAGCAGAAAGCATTTGTTTAATAATAATAATAATAATAATAATAATAGTGATGTTTTGTTTATTACCCTTGATGTTATTCTAATAAAAACCCATTTGGTATTTACAGTCAGTTGTTGATGACTGGATCGAGTCGTACAAGCAGGACAGAGACATGGCTCTTCTGGATCTTATCAACTTTTTCATTCAGTGCTCTGGATGTAAAGGTAATGTTACTGATCCCACAACACATTAGGCCCACTGTATTGTTTGTGTTGTATGTCTGCACGTTTTAATAATCACCAAGTGGAGGCTGGTGAGGGAATTTAACAGTTTAATGATTTTACCAGCCTATGATCCCCCCCCCCTTCTTCTGTAGTGGCCTAATTTCTCTAAACAAATGTAAAGCTATATTGCTAAGCAACACACAGTGGCCTTCTGAACAGGAAGGTTGTGACTGGGCAAAAAAATAAGCCCTCATTATTGTCATCCTGCTGTTCACAAGACCAGCACATGCTTTCCTGTATTTCTTGGTCGAGTTACATGGTCCTATTCTGTTGAATGTAATTAACCAGTATTTCCACTCAATATTTTGTGTCGTGTCCCAGCTATCGGTTAGCTTATGAGTTGAGTGAATCTTGTGTGGTGTCAGGTTGGGTTGACATTGTTGCTCTTTTAATTGCAGGTACTGTAAGAATTGAGATGTTTAGAAACATGCAGAATGCAGAAATTATCAGGAAGATGACAGAGGAGTTTGATGAGGTAAGTTGTAACCCATAGCAACATCATTAATTTATGCTGTTGTTTTGATTCTGGGTTATATTTGGGATGTATGTTTTGATAAAAGGCTTTTAAAGCCTGTCAAACATCACACCAGCTAGCAGGCTTTCAGGGGCAAGAATGCAAACATTAAAATTAAAAATTAAAAATCACATATTCCAACTTTATTCCCAACAATATATGCTTTATTTCAAAACCCTATGAAGTAAACAAATACTAAGAATGATATTGGTATATTTAAATTGTAAGTTACAGCTAGTACAGCATTCCCTGAAAACGTTAGTGACCAGCCTTTGTGTTTCAGGATAGTGGCGACTACCCGCTCACGATAGCCGGCCCGCAGTGGAAGAAGTTCCGCTACAACTTCTGCGAATTCATCGGCGTTCTGATCCGCCAGTGCCAGTACAGCATCATCTATGACGAGTATATGATGGACACAGTCATTTCCCTCCTCACCGGCCTTTCAGACTCACAGGTCCGAGCCTTCAGACATACCAGCACCCTGGCAGGTAAAGACTGATATGAAATTTCTTGTCAGTGACTTATGTATGTAGTCTTTATGTGATTGCTTTCTGAGTAAGTGAGGTGTAAAGGGATTAGTCTTGACCCACAAGTCCAGCTTAGGCTACAGAGCTATCTGCTGCAGCATTATATGACCAGAGTACGTGTAGAAATTGACTTGGGTCCAAAACACTGTACTTTTTGGCTGCGTTCACATCGAAGGCCTCATTCCTCAAATCCGACCTCTCTGACACGATGGTTCACACTCATTTAGGTAAGTAATCTGTCATTAATGTGAACGAACCGGCGTCCTGAATTGACTCTTATGTGCACATCCTACTCAGCAACGTCACGTGAATGAATCACGTGCATCATCAGCAAACAGACTAACGTGCAGAACGAGCTTCGCTGTCAAGATAATTAACTCTGATCAGCTCTCAGCTTCATTATTAGAGCGAGACGAAGGAGAAAAAGTGAAATGTGTTGCTTTTCCACCGTTTACAGGCTTTAACTTCTGTTCGGCGCTGCTGCCATGGTAACGCTGAATGATGGCGCAGTGGAGAAAAAGCACATGAATTCCGATCTGAGCGTCACATTAAGGTCACATGACCACGAATCGGATACGTATCCGATCTAGGACCACATATGAAAGTGGCTCAGGTCGGATTTAAAAGAATCAGATTTTTGTGTTCACACAGCCCTGATTGCATCAGATCTGAGTCACATTAGGGCAAAAAAATCAGATTTGTGCCACTTCAACTTGGTAATGTGAACGCAGCCTTTGTTCTCAGGTACTAATTTTCATCACTGTATTGCTTTATAGGAGATACTCATATCACCTACAGTTGAACAGTTAAGGAATTGTTGTGGTTTGCTTAATTGCCCTGCCAGCTATGAAGCTGATGACGGCCCTGGTGAACGTAGCATTGAACCTGAGCATCAACCAGGACAACACACAGAGACAGTACGAGGCTGAGCGCAACAAGGTCGCCGGGAAGAGAGCCACAGACAAGCTGGAACTGCTGCTGGAGAAGAGGAAGGAGGTACGACATTTCTTCATAATTCTCAGCCTGCCTTTATTAAGTAGTATGTTTGTTTGTAAGTGATTTTGATATGTGTTCCAGCTTCAAGAGAACCAAGATGAAATTGAGAATATGATGAACTCCATCTTCAAGGGAATTTTCGTTCACCGCTACAGGTATTTCTCAGATTCAGATCAATCACTCACTAATATTGCTTGTGAAGTGTTGAAGTGTTACTGTATTGTAATTGTTCATCACTTGTTTTCAGAGATGCCATTGCTGAGATTAGAGCTATCTGCATTGAGGAGATCGGCGTGTGGATGAAGCTGTACAGCGACGCCTTCCTTAATGACAGCTATCTGAAATACGTGGGCTGGACGTTACATGATAGGGTGAGTGTACGTCCAGCCTAAAGGCTGAGAGGGTCATTTGATAATAGAGGTGGGCGATATGGCGAAAATATAATATTGGGGATTCTTCAAGAAATTTTCACAACAAACGATGTCACAGTTTATGGTTTTTTGGTTCACAATTTATGTCACAAATATGTTTTTACCAGACATCTGATCTGTTGGAACAGAGACAAAAGAATGTATAGTGCAACATTTTAAAATATACTGTAAAAAAAAACTGTGAATAAAATGTTATTATTCATTATTCATATGTTATTATACAGTTTTGCGTACTGTGTTGCACAAAATCCAGTTAAACTGGGCTGATTTTGAACATGCAGTTGGGTGAGGTTTCAAAAAAAATATAATGATATCCATGTACGCAGAAAAGCATTCTGTATCTGCGTTCTTTGTGTGTGTGTGTGTGTGTGTGTGTATGTATGTGTATATGTGTGTGTGTGTGTGTGTGTGTGTGTATATATATATATATGTGTATATATATTATATATATATATATATGTAATCTAAATAATTGCTGCTCTTGGGAAGAAAACCTCATATCTCATTTTTTGTCTGTTTTCAGTTTTTGACAATAATTTGAAAATACCTGTTGTCCTTTACATTGTGTGTAAATTTCATGATGAATGGACCAAAAGAAACGACCCAAAATCTGGTTCCACTGACTTACATTAAAAGTAAAGTATGTTTTTTCCTTCTCCTGTTCATTTTGGAGATACAGGGTTTTCTTCCGACAACAGCTATGTGTGTGTATGTGTATGTATGTGTGTATGTATGTATAAATATATATGTGTGTGTGTGTGTGTGTGTGTGTGTGTATGCACAAATACAATAATAGGGTATTTGTATAATGTAAAGGCGACTGCTGCCTACCTGAATGTAGAATTTCTGTTAAATTGGCAGTTGCATAGTTTTCATAATTTTTCTAAGCAGGTTAAAAGTGCTACCGCTAGCTCCGGCGAGTATTTGAGACTCTAACTTTTGTGTCTTCACAGCAAGGAGAAGTCCGACTTAAGTGCCTCAAGGCACTTCAGACACTGTACACAAACAGAGGGCTCTTCCCCAAGCTGGAGCTCTTCACTAACCGCTTTAAGGTCAGCCAAACTGCCATGATATAACATCACAAATACATATGATGGTTTTGAACAAAATGTTTATTAGCTAAATATGTCTTCTCACTTCACTTTTTGTTGTGCTTCTTTTCCTTTCATTTAGGACCGCATTGTGTCTATGACTCTAGATAAAGAGTATGACGTGGCGGTGGAGGCCATCCGGCTAGTGACTCTGATACTGCAGTGAGTACCCAAAACTCACGCCCCCCCCCCGTTCAATCCCCCCCAATCCCCCCAATCCATCTCTCACTCTCACACATAATCTGTATTTCTGTCCAAGTGATAAAATGAAAAATGTTTCCATGCTAACTTTTAGTGATAAAAATGTCTTTTTCTGCAATAAAACTGTTTAAAAAAAAGTTTTATTTCTAGTTTTATGTCCAAGTTGTTTTCCTTTGGCATCTCTAACTTCCCCATAAACTGCTGATAAGAAATTGTATTTATTTATTTATTTATTTTTATTGTTTTCTGTCTGAACTGTTACATAAGGTCACTTTCCTCTGCCATATGGAGATGTTTGTGCACTTTCCATATAGAAAAGCTGTAGTCTTTTCTGGAAACATCTCTCTGAGAGAGCCTAAGGGTGACAGCTTTTTCAGAGAAAGATGTCCAGAAAACACTCTCATCTCCTCCTCGGTTAAACATGCTGTGTGTGCTTGTTTTAAGAGACATCAGAAGAAATTAGTCACATGACACAAAATTATATGTGTAAAATAGTCATTTTGAGAAAAAAAAAGGTTTTTGCAAGATTTCAGGTCTCGACAAACAATTTAGTAACTAAAGTTTAACAGAAAAACATTTTTGTCAACATTCAAATAATATTACAAGACAGCTCCAGTTTCTATAGCGAACTTTTTGAAGCATGAAAACTTTTTGCAAAAACCCCTTTGGATGGAAACATAGCCATAGTAAGACACAGTGCTGTCTCAGTAAACGCACTGGATTCAGCTCATCAGCTAATTAGCAAGACCTACATTAATTGAAATCACAGTAAAAGTATGATGATAATCCCTGAAGGGACCCAGTTTTGACATGCCTGCTCTGTCACGGTCACTCTGACGTGTATTGGTCTGTGTGCTGCAGTGGCAGTGAGGATGCTCTCTCTAACGAAGACTGTGAAAACGTCTATCACCTGGTCTACTCCGCCCATCGGCCTGTGGCAGTGGCAGCAGGAGAGTTCCTCCACAGGAAGTGAGTGAATTAAGAGAATGTTTATTGGTTTATAGTTTTACTGTTAACAGCAATGCTAAAACTGCTAAAACAGTGGCATCTGTTCTCGATTACCATTTGGGTCAGTGCTAACCGCAAAATCGTGTTGGCATCCAGAGTAACCAAAACACGCTTGTTCTGTAGTCAGTAATTGACTTTGTCTGCAGGCTGTTCAGTCGGCACGACCCCCAGGCAGAGGAGGCTCTTGCTAAGCGGCGGGGCAGGAACAGCCCTAATGGCAACCTCATCAGGATGCTGGTGCTTTTCTTCCTGGAGAGTGAGGTGAGTAGCTCAAGGTGTGACCTTCCAAACGTTCTGCCATTTTTCAAATAAAACATATTATTTCATTAGAGAATTTCTTGGTGCCGTAGATGGTCTTTAGGGCTATACGATATATTGTTTGTTCGTCATTACCGAGGGCAGCAATATTCAAATGAGCCTTGTAATCAAGCACATAATTGTTTTGTGCTCAGAGCGTCCTGAACAGTCACAACTGTTCCTTCGTGAGTGTTTTGTGGGTGCTTTGATAAATTCATGCGACGTTCACATGATCCTACAAATGTAAATAATGGAGGCCAGTTTAACTGCTAGATCAAAGGTTTTAAGGTGTGTTTTTATCATATTGCAGCAAATATCGCAAATCCTGCACTTTCTGAAAGCAGATAACTACAATTCCAGTTAAACCAAAACAAATGGCAGTCAGCCTTTTTAGACATTTTTAGTTATGTGCCTCAGTGCCACAACTCCCATTTCTTATTTTTACCCCACCCCTTGTTTTCGAGCGTCACCTTGCCCCTTGGGCAAGTACCCCTTGTTACAAGGGGTACTTGTTGAAATGTTCCCCTTCAAAATGGGACCCTCAAATAAAAAAAGATCATTGCTTCATCAACAGCTACTAGCGCTGCTCTGTAGGCCAGTCTGCAGTGATAGCAGAGGAGGGTAAAGTTCAGCTCCTCACTGCTGGGCTTTAGTTACATTTAGGGAATCATATGCCTTCAAAGAGGGGGCAATTATTATTATCACCACCCCTAATTCTTCAGTGATATGAAGCTGAAGTCAGCTATTCGCCACTTTCTTCTAATTTTCTTGTTCCATTTTAAATGGAGCAGCAGTTACATTCTGAGGCACCAGAATGTAACTGCTGCACCATTTAAGGTGGAATGGGAAATTTAGCTACCTAGCTACCAAGACATCAGCACACTACTAGTGATTTCTTTAAAGCTTGTCATGAAGAAAAGGATCATAATACATTGAAACGACATTAAACTAAGATGATACAGTGGTTTTCGTATTTTTATGATGTAAAATACTCACATTTGTGCGTTTCTTTGGTTGCTTGTGCAGCCATCTTGCCAGTTTATCTTTTTTTCTCACTCTATCATTGGACCACAGTTTGGAGTGTGCCTTTGGAAAAACCTCCATTTGGAGGGCCAGGTAACACTACCCCTCTATCTCAACAAAATCGTGACACCCTGCCACTAGGCGTGAACGGTGAAGGGCTAAGTGGTAGGGATTGGGCCTTAATCAGTTCTTCATTGACCACGCAGTGCAGTCAACATGAATTCATGCGATCGTGATTCATCTCTGCTGAGAAGTATTGCAGCTTGAGTTTGATCTAATCTAAAATGGAATATTATAGGAACATAAATATTAAGCCCTACTTGGTAATATCAGTGAACAGGTTTACTTGCCAAACAGAGACGCATAGTTGTGGTCAGATGTGAATGATGATAGCATCACAGCTTCAACAAGTAACCGCCTGTGAACATCAATATTTACCTAAAAATTAGGAGCATCTACACTTCCAGTTGCCTGGATGTGTTTTGAAAGTGCGTTTGTTTGGAAATGGATGAAATAACAGGTATGGCTGAGTTGAGTCACAGAGGGCTGTGTTTAATAACAGATTGCCTTAAAGCTGTACGCGTAGCTGGTAACAGCACACAGAGGAGTACATCTGAAACATGCTGTACAGCTGTAACACTACATGGTAATGGGAGGTTTGTCTTTGACCCAGGATCTTTTCTCCTCAGTTAATTATACGCCCAGCTTGTTGCGATATCACTTGGAGCCATTAATATTTATCTTTGAGAATCATTTTTAAGCAAGCGAGTCTTCTGTACTCTTCATACAGCTCCGTTGTTTGTGGTATTTGTAATACTTGGACCAGAAATGTAGTTAACTGCTTTAGAAGCTGATGGAAATGGCAAGCTAGAAATGTGAAAAGGCCATGTGGCTCTTTTATCCATTCTGTGCAGCATGTCTAGTATCCATATTTGATTTAAATATGGTTGGTATAGTTGATTGGCCCTCACTAGCGGCATGAAGGGAATCACGCTGACTTATTTTTATTTATAGCTCGCTCTCTGGTCACATGCCAGTTTATATCTCATTGATGATCTCTATAAATAACAATACTTATCAGACCTGCTCTATTGACTGGATCACCTGTCAGGTACCGAGAGTTTTTACTGGACTGGGAAAATCTGTTTTTAGCTACAGAGCACCAGTGAGCTGGAATTCAGTACAGGAGTCTCTAAAACTCAGTTTGCCTGTGTCACTAAGACATTTTAAAATTTTAGTCTCTAATCACTTTCAGACAGCCTGTAACTGTTTTAGTTGTGTAACCTTTCCTTTCTCCTTTTTATTATTATTATTATTATTATTATTATTATTATTTAATATTAATATTAATTTTGATGTTAATTCTTTTACGGTTCTATTTTAGTAAAAAAATTTGGTTTTTCTAACATTTTAGTTTTCTTATTGCTTTTTTATTACTCTTATTGCTCTAAGTTGGTTCTTTTACTTTTTTGTTTTTTCATTATATATTTTATTAATGTTTTATTGTTTTTCTATTTGAGCTGGTTTTTGTATTTATTTATTTATTTATTTATTCATTTAAAATATATAAATCTTTGTCTTGATTTGTTGTAGTTGGTCAGTTTCACTTCAACTGTTATAATTTGCTCGGTTACATTGTAAATGAGGGTCACCCTCAATGTACTTCCGAGTCTAAATAAAGGTTGGTGGATTGAACATTTTTAAGTTTGGTGTGTGTGTGTGTGTGTGTGTGTGTGTGTGTGTGTGTGTGTGTGTGTGTGTGTGTGTATATAAATACCCTGCTTGTGTGTGTGTTGCAGCTGCACGAGCACGCAGCGTATCTGGTGGACAGCCTGTGGGACAGCTCTCAGGAGCTGCTGAAGGACTGGGACTGCATGATCGAGCTACTGCTAGAGGAGCCAGTACAGGGAGAGGAAGGTAAAACAGCTGCTCCTTATTCATTCAGCCTCCTGCTGGACTTTACTGAAGCCATCAGTTAGTTATTGGTTGCTTAGGTTAGATAATCAGTTGATTTGTTTTTAACCATGTGCTGGTGGTTGTTGTTGTTTCAGTGCTGGGAGACAGACATGAGAGCGCTCTGATCGAACTCATGGTCTGCACCATCAGGCAGGCAGCCGAGGCTCACCCACCTGTCGGCCGAGGAACGGGGAAGCGCGTACGTGCCTTCCATGTTGCATTTTTATGCTAGTCTGTTTGCGCGGATATGCATTTTTTTCTTAATATTACTTCTTCTGTTTTGACACCTCAGGTTCTCACTGCCAAAGAAAAGAAGACCCAGGTTGACGATAAGAATAAACTGACTGAGCACTTCATCATTGCTCTGCCTATGCTGCTGTCAAAGGTACAAATCTAGCTTTAAAAATCAGACTGAAAACAATCATGGCATGTCTCCTCATACTCTCTCACATAGATCTGCCTAAGTGGCTAAAGTATTCAAATACTCAGTTTTCTGAATGATTTGTCCTGAATGATATGCATATTCAGGGTGTGTACAGGCACTGTGACTGTATGCACAGCATGGGTTCTTTGTCTTGGTGCTCAGTTAGATTGTCAGTGTATATAAACTGTCTTTGTTTTTTGCTTTTTTAATTTTTTTTTTATTTATTTATTTTTTTCTGGCTGATAACTTCGGGCCTAAGGGACAACAGTTGGAAAAATAATCAGTTTGCTAATGCCAGTTTCCTTTAGGAAATTCACATTACCAGGTTGAAATGGCTGAAATCTGATTATTTGCTCTAATGTGACTCAGATCTGATGTTTTCAGAGCTGTGAGGACACAAATCTGATCTTTTCAAATCCGACCTGAGCCACTTTCATATGTGGTCCTAGATACGTATCCGATTTGTGGCCATATGACCTTAATGTGACGCTCAGATCTGAATTCACGTGGTTTTTTTCCACTGCGCCATCATTCAGCGTTACCATGGCAGCAGCGCCGAACAGAAGTTAAAGCCTGTAAACGGTGGAAAAGCAACACATCTCACCTTTTTCACTTTCATCTCGCTCTAATAATGAAGCTGAGAGCTGATCAGAGTTAATTATCTTGACAGCGAAGCTCGTTCTGCTCGTTAGTCTGTTTGCTGATGACGCACGTGATTCATTCACGTGACGTTACTGAGTAGGATGTGCTCATGAGGGTCATTTCAGGACACCAGTTTGTTCACGTTAATGACAGATTTGAATCACTTACCTGAACGAGTGTGAACCATCGTGTCAGAGAGATCAGATTTGAGCAAAAAATAGGATTTTAACAATGAGGCTTGTAATGTGAATGGAGCCTTGGTTGATTAAAGTAAATGTGAACTGGAAATCGTATTTTCCTTCTTTGACAAGAAGTCATTACATTTGGATCAAAGACTATGGACAAAACTAGAATAATGTCCTGAAAAATTATACATGGTGAACTATGGTTAATAAGCCCCCAGGACATGAACTCACAAGGTACAAAAGGTCAGTTTTCAGGTTGACCGTTCAGATGACTTTAATATGCTTTGTCCTGTTTATATATAAAATAAAAAAAAAATGTCCATTTTATGATGGAATTTGAATTTTTTGGACAAAATACATCATGGTCATACATTATCCAACACATTTTAATGCCTTGGGGTGAATATTAAGGGAATTTATGAACGGTCAAAAAACGCACATAAAGGTAAGACTATAGCCTTATGTATTTTTGGAAATTTGGCGAAACATCAAAGGTTCATTTTATGAAGGAATTTGAATTTTTTGGACAAAATACATCATGGTCATACATTTAATAACACATTTTGATGCCTTGGGGTGAATATTAAGGGAATTTATGAACGGTCAAAAAACGCACACGAAGGTAAGACTATAGCCTTAGGTATTTTGGGAAATTTGGCGCAATATCACATGTCCATTTTATGATGGAATTTGAATTGTTTGGAAAAAATACATCATGGTCATACATTTACTAACACATTTTGATGCCTTGGGGTGAATATTAATGGAATTTATGAACGGTCAAAAATTAAATACCTCCTCCTTAGTCTCTTCACTCTTTTTATTTCTAGTATCAAGCAGATGCTGAGAAAGTGGCCAACCTCCTGCAGATCCCTCAGTACTTTGACCTGGAGGTCTACAGTTCTGGACGAATGGAGAAGGTCTGTAAACTGTGAATAGTTTTGAGTGTTAGCGCCACATCGATCAGTTGTCTCTGTGAAGTAACTAAAATGGTGTTCTCTGTCCTTTTCTTCTGCTGCTGCCGCTCAGCACTTGGATGCTCTGCTGAAGCAGATCCGGGTGGTGGTGGAGAAACACACAGAGACGGAGGTCCTGGAGGCCTGCAGTAAGACTTACAGCATCCTGTGCAGTGAAGAGTATACCATCATGAACCGTGTGGACATCGCCCGCAGCCAGCTCATCGACGAGCTCACGGATCGTTTCAACCACTCTGTGGAGGACCTTCTGCAGGAGGTGAGCTATCAGATCAGTCTGGCATCTCTACTGTTTCTCTTGTTGTGGACGTTGCCCTGCAAATGACTCCCACAACCCGTAACCTGACCTGATCAATGTAAACCTTCTCTTCTCGTTGATATCTTACACACATACCATCATGAGTCCATTTTACTGGGGTTGCAACAACTAAGCAACATTATTGATGATGTTGATAATAAAAAATTGTTGGCAATGTATTACGTTATCGATTAGTTGTCTTGATAATGATTGGACATCACATGATTAAAAGAGGGAAATGCACACAGCGTAGACTGAAGTACAGTGTCTGAATATGACCCAAAAACATTGAAATAGATGTTTTAAGAAATAATAATCCTTATATTTTTAATTTGCTAAAGTGAAACTGTATTGCCAGAGTAAAAGCTGCAGGTTTTCGTTTCCCAACTAATCGATTAATCAGTCATAAAGGACCAACTAATCAAGTATGAAAGTAGTCTTTAGTTGCAGCCCTACATTTTACCAAGAAGGCACTGTTGAAGGCACTATATTCTTAAAATACCTGATTACTTAAGGCAACATATAATGAATTGCAAAAGTATTGTTAAAAAAAAAACATTTTTTTTTTTTGGGATAAAAATAAAAAACAAACATTTGAGAGGGAAAAATACACACAGCGCAAACTGAAGTACAGTGACGATTATGACCCCCAAAACAAAAAAAAACAAAAACAATGAAAACACTTTTCCTGCTTGGTATGTAAAACTGAGCTCAGCAGCCAGTACAACCATTAGGCACAAATATGAGAGAATAAACACTGCATCCATGACCGAAACTGCATGGTAAGACACTAATATCTGATTAAAGCTGCTGTCAAATTCCGAAAAATGCATAATATTATGCATATTTTGTTCAGCAGATAGAATAAGCAGCACTGGTTGAAGTGTTAAGTTTCATATTGAAACTGTTGGTCTAAACTGCTCGGCTGAACTACTGAGTTATCAGGGATGTTTGTTCACTAACACACACAAACTTACAAACACAGAGCTTTAGGGAGTTTTTCCAAACTCTGTTTTCAGTTGGAATGTGAAGTGATTAAAAACGTGTACATTTTAAAACGTTGATGTCATGCACATAATTATTGCCGTTTTCTGTGTGATGAGCAGGTTTTAGGTTTTTGTATCTGACATGGCTGATGACTGGACTGTTAGTGTGAGATCTAATGACAAAGCAAATTCGTTTGCTTTGTCAGTAGAGGAGAAATACACATGATCTTGGACTAATGTGTAAGATTTGTTTGTGTTGTTTCCTTGTTTTTTTGAGATTTCAGGAGCAATGAAAATCTCTGCAGTGACCTTGATAGTAGCAAAATTTAAATTTGTTTTTTTAGAAAGTATGAATTAGAACTTGAAATAGAATAATCCTTTTTTTAAATTTGCAGAATGAAACCGTATTGCCAGAATAAAATGTGCAGGTTTTCTTTTTCCAACTAATCGACTGATCAAAGTCATAAAGGACCACCTAATCTATTATGAAAATAGTTGTTAGTTGCAGCCCTACATTTTACCAAAAAGGCACTGTCGAAGGCACGGTTTTCTTTAAATGCCTGATTACTTAAGGCACATGCCAGTGCCTTGCAATGAATTGCAGAAGTATTGGGGGAAAAAAGATTTTAGAGATAAAAAAAGAAAAAACAAACATTTTTGTGTCACACAATGCTGGGTGTACAAATTGTCCTTTTGAGAGGGATAAATTGAAAAGGATTGAAAATGTAAAATTTTGTCTTTCTTTTCCTTTCCTTTAGGGGGATGAGGCTGATGATGATGACATTTACAGTGTACTCTCGTCCCTAAAGAAACTCACTGCTTTTCATAAGTAAGAGAGCTGTGACTTCTTCTTTTTAAGTGTGTCACTGTTTTTGTCTGCTGTGGTTCATTAAACGTCTGTGTATTCTAAGACACTTTATTCCTGTGTGTGCTTTTCAGTGCTCACGACCTCACAAAGTGGGACCTGTTTAAGAACTGCTACCGGTTACTGAAAATGGGAATAGAACAAGGGTCCATGCCAGAGCAGGTACGAGACTGACTGTCTCTAATAATGGACATTCAAACTATTAGATATGGGTAAAAGTATCGTAATGTTAATCCTGTTTCCCTTTTGTTCAGATTGCTGTCCAGGCACTACAGTGTTCACATTACTCAATCCTGTGGCAGCTGGTCCGAATCACAGAGGGCTCTCCATCCAAGGTAAAATACATCCACCACTCTTTTGTATAAGCTAAACACTCAGTAGCCACGTTTACATGCAACCTAATAATCCGTTAATAATCCGACTAATAGCTCAATCGAATGGAATATGTCCATGTAAACACCTCAATCGGAATAGACTAGTCAGATTAAGGCCATTCGTAATACAGTTTCTATCCGATTGATCGAGATGGGTAATCCTGTAAATAATCAGTTAAATAGAAGAATAATATCCGTGTAAACGCCTGTATCTGATTACATTCCCAATCTGAAAGTTTAAGTACGTTCTGATCATGTTCGTCACGTCATAGTGAAAGTTTATACCGTTCACCATGGCGGAGCAGAAACTGGTCTGTAGAGGAGACGAAGTTTATGCTCAGATCTTTAAAAGACGGCGGTGGGACGGACGTCCAGCTTATGTGTCTCAGAACACGACGTCTTCCTCTCGGCCTTCTTTAATAAGGACATGTGAAGCACGTTTTCCTGAGTCTGACATCATTTTAAAGTAATTAGAAACACAAGCACTGCTCACTGCTGCTCATCTCACTCTGACTGGACTCACGTGATGCTGGTTGTCATGGTAACGTCTACACTAAGTGGTTCTCCACGCACGCAGTGTAATTTTGGATCTGATTACTTGTAGTGAGCATGTAAACAAAGATTTTTCATCAGATTGTTGAGTAGAGTGAGAATAAACACCTCAGTCTTAATCTGTAATCGGAATGTATTCAATCGGATTGGCAAAAATCTTTGCATGTAAACACAGACAGTGTTGAGTTTAAACTGGTAATGCACTTAAATAGTCTTTCGTTTCAAGACACTGAGGAAATGTAATGCCATGCTTTTTCCTCTTTTTCTTTCCCAGGATGACCTTGTTGCTCTAAGAAGAGTTGTGAAGTCGTTCCTTGCTGTGTGCCAGCAGTGCCTGTCAAATGTGAACACTCCTGTGAAAGAGCAGGTGAGAGAACTACAATGTAATAAATATATAAACAATTATAAACCAGACAAAAAAGCAAAGTATATGTATTTATTTATCTTTGTCGTTGTGTATCAGTTCTATTGTGTTACTCTCTATGCATGTTTTGTGCTGTAACATCAAGGGCTGCCCTGAATCATTCAGATACTGGCGTATTCATTCGTCATGTTGAATATTTTTTCCTTTATTTAGCTTTCAGAAGCTTAGTCTTTTGTTAACACTTCAGACCTCCCCAGGATTCTGTAACACTCTTGTGGATTCCTTAATGTTTTCAGAGTTAGAGACTCATTTATCACCGTTTTAAACAAAACATATCATAGAGCCAGAAGGAAAATGCAGTTACTCAAAGATGGGCTTGTTATTAGTCTATAAAGAAAAGTGTCGTACCCAGATAACAATAGCTAAAGGCTGAATACTGCTACTACCCCCACAACCCGACCCACCACCCCCATGATTTTTTTGTTTGGCTGTTCACATTATCTTTTAAATGTGATCTGTATGCGACATCAGTCTGAACAGATCAGCTCCTAATCCGACCACATGCGTAAAAGAGCAGCACGTGACGTTGCTCCACGCGGCTCATCCAGACGTAAACAATCCTGACTATGAATGAACGCCAGTCGCTCCCAGAGGATCAGCTTCATCTTCACCAGCATCACAAAAGCCATCATGAAGCTGACAGCTGGGCTGATCACCCTGAATGTGTTCGAGCCATAAAAAGGGCACGGTCACTTCTTTGGTTCGTGTCCTTGGATTCTTTAAACTTTGCTTTCAGACAATTAACTGTTCTTTGACGCTGCAGCCTTTCTTTCAAAATCTCTTCTGAACGTGGAGCGGTTGCGGTCTCTTCTAATTTTTTGGTACAGAAACATCAGCCTAAATGTTTATGAGGTCTCAGCAGCATGAAATGATGAATGTCGAGTGGGATTGACAAAAAAGTCGCAGACTGATTCGCGTTGCCGCAGATCGGATACGTATCCGATTTCAGTACCACATATGAAAGCGTCTCAAATCGGAATTGAAAACATCAGATTCAGTGCATTTCTTGCTGGTCACACTGACACACAGACACGCATCTCTGTCACATATGGAGAAAAAGATTGTATTTGAGCCACTTTTACCTGCTGTGTGAAAAAAAGCCAATGTAGCCATTTTCCTTAGTTAGAAGCTAGTGATATATATATTAAAATGGTCAACAAAAAAAAAAGAAACTCTTAAAGAGAGATCTGTGTGTGTGTGTGTGTGTGTGTGTGTGTGTGTGTGTGTGTGTGTGTTTATATGTTTGGCTATAGTATTGACCGATGAACAACATTCAAGTGAACGAGCTGATCAGTTTAACTGATTCCTATGTGATGCGAGCTGCCGTAAATCTTCACTAATTTATTACAAAAGACTCACAAAATGTGTTGCTTATCGAGGTTATTTCACTCATGATGGAGTTGAACGTCCCTCTAAGTTAGCAATGGCATGTGACCTTGGATATCCATTCAGTAAAAGGACTATGAAAACACATTGCAAAACAAGGAATTTTAAAAAAAAATGATGTCTTGAACTCGCTTATGTATCATTGTGGCTGTCTAGGTAATTAAAAATCCAGTCAGATTCGCCTGTCTTTATATCTGACATAATGTTACAGCAGACATTATACATTATAGCATAAATTAACAGTTTGTTGGCGTCTTTGGGACATCTGTCATAAGAAAAACCAGCGGTTTGAAAAATTGCACTGTTTTGATTGTCTGTCTAAAATAAATGAACATATTCAAAAGTATGGTTAGTTATGAAGTATGTAAAGTATTTTGTTTTTGAGGGTAGGATTGAGAACGATTGTTTGACTACTTATTTAGAAACAGTGTGTTCCAAGCCTGTGAAATGCTGTCTGGGCCGGCCTTAGTGAGTCAGTGTGTGCTCCTCAATATCTCCGCAGGCATTCATGTTGCTGTGTGACTTGCTGATGATCTTCAGCCACCAGCTGACCACAGGGAGCAGAGAAGCCCTGCAGCCGTTAGTCTTCAATCCAGACAACACCCTGCAGAGCGAGCTCCTCAGCTTTGTGCTAGACCACGTCTTCATTGACCAGGACGACGAGAACCAGAGCATGGGTGCGTGTTCCTTTTCTGTCTGCCACACATTCTGAATCAGAATGGCTCAAAGGTATTTAAACGAAGGAGAACAAGTTAGTCATTTTAAAGCTTAAACCTGAGTTGCAAATTTAAAGTACGGGTTTATTTTCTAGAGACTATAACATTCAGTTGGAGTCCTCCAAGATGATCCTTTGTAGTTGAGGGCAAGACTCAGTAAACTTCTCTAAAGACACTCTGTGCCAACATTGGGCCTCATTGACCAGCCGTTCTTAAGATAAAATTTCGGTACCGCTTTAAAATAAGACTACCCTTATAAAACGTTTATAAACGGTTTAAAATTAGTTTATTAATGGGCATTAATTAGGCCATAAACACCTTAAAAAGCATTAATAAGCAGTTATAACACAAATAAAAAGGGCAACAGTGATGTTATTTGCCTAATAGTGAAACCCCATTCATTTATATACACACTTAAAAATGATAGTTCTTCAAGGGTCCTTTAGTCAAGAAAATGGTTCTATATAGAACCATGAACACTCAAAGTACCCTTTGCATGATTGAAGGGTTCTTTGCATCGTGAAAGCGTTCTTCAGATTAATGGAGAATGTGCTGTAGATGGCACTATGTAGAACCTATTTTGAAAAGGGTCCTGTATAGCACCAAAAGTGTTCTTCTATTATTGTGATCTCAGGCTTGTTACAGTAGAAAAACGCTTTTTGGTGCTATTTAGAACTCTTTTCATAAAGGTTCTATTCTCCATCAATCTGAAGAACCATTTGGCGACGCACAGAACCATTTAATCATGCAAAGGGTTTCTTGGAGGGTTCATGGTTCTGTAAAGCACCATTTTCTTTACTAAAGAACCCTTAAAGAACCATCATTTTAAGTGTGTAGTTAAACCGCAGTTCTTGCTGGTTGCTTATTTTACTTTCCCCCTTTAATAATGTGTTATAACTGATTACTAATGATTTTTAAGGCGTTCTGACCTAATTAATAACCATTAATAAACTAATTTTAAACCATTAATAAACAGCTTATAAGGGTAGTCTTATTCTAAAGTAGTACCAAAATTTCTTCTTTAAACCCACTTACACAGTTTTCACGAAGATTCTGACATTCACCAGTGTTTTCTTATTTGGGATTTGCTATTAGGTAAGAACAGAATCTACACACACACACAAGAGCACAAAGGTGAACAGTTCTGTGGTTTAAGAACACAACATGAATCTGACGAACTTCTTCTTATGATCGCTCTCAAGAACACATTTATGAAAGACCTTAGGAAGATACTGGTGAATGAGGCCCATTCCTTTTGGTCACACTAATTTGGATGGTCCCCTATAGATGTTCTACAGATACTTAAATCATTAACAAACTTTCTGGTGATGTTCAGTCCACATTGTGATTAGGGTTAAGGTTAGGAGTAGATGTAAGTTTAGCCTTGAGGTTAGGATTAGGAGTAGGGATAATATAGAGATATATAGATTTAATAAACTCTTTCACACTGAACTGGTAGTTTTGTTGCATTTAATAGATATTTAGTTGAATGTTACTTATAAAGAGACTGAGCGTTTACAAAGCATCTGCAGTGGATCCTCCACATAACACTCAACTTAAAGTTCGGTTGCATTTAACAGATGTTTAGTTGAATTTTACGAAAAGATATAATGAGCATTTACAAAGCATCTACAGTGGACCATCCAAATAAAGCGTTACCCTAGATAATCTGCTTTTTTTGGCTTGAGATATGAAGGCTTACTCTGCCATTTAGTTGTGGTAGTGATATCACATCTGCAGCACATGGGTAGGTTCTGACTATCGCAAGCTCTGTGTTATTGGGTTAAAATTACTCATTGAAAACATAAGACCGCATTGTTATTGATGTGCTCCATAACAGAAACTGCAGCTCTTGCTGCATTTCGATATGAAAACGATTAATCTTTCAGCCCCAGCTGAATCCCTATAGATGTTCTAACCATTGATCTCTATTGCATTGTTATACTGGCCTTTTGTAGAGGGTGATGAGGAAGATGAAGCCAATAAAATTGAGGCTTTACACAAAAGGAGGAACCTTCTTGCTGCTTTCAGCAAGCTCATCATATACGACATTGTGGACATGCCTGCGGCAGCTGACATCTTTAAACACTATATGAAGGTATAATGTGGTGTTTTTTAAAGTTTGTTATCTGTGCAGTGGGTTTGTGACTTGTTATGCGATCACTTATGATTCTTGTTTTGCTTTTATTTAGTACTACAATGACTATGGCGACATCATCAAGGAGACCCTGAGCAAGACCAGACAGACGGATAAGATCCAGTGTGCCAAAACACTTATACTCAGTTTGCAACAGGTGAGAAACGAGATTACGATCATAATCAAATCTGTTCAGAATCGTAAGCTTCTGATCCATGTCGAATTCAGCCTCACTCTCTGTGGTAATTCCCAGTTAGAAATCCTTTCTAGTACCTAAATGTAACTTTAATGCAGCAGATTAGCAAGTGCCCTCTTGTGTCTGCCAGTGCATTTCTATCGTCTGTCACATCTTTTGTCTTTTCTTACTTGTGTGTCTTCTGTCTATTCTCAGCTCTTTAATGAGCTTGTGCAGGATCAGGGGCCCAACCTGGATCGAACCTCTTCCCATGTGAGTGGCATTAAAGAGCTGGCCCGCCGCTTCGCTCTCACCTTTGGACTGGACCAGATCAAAACCAGGGAGGCAGTAGCAACGTTGCACAAGTAGGTTGCTCTGCAGATCAGTGCACAGATTTCTTTCAAATTAAAGAGTCCAGCTACAAACTAAACTGTTTGTGGAAGATGGATTGTTTTACATCTTCTATTCCTTAATTTCATTACCTATTTTTTATTTATTTATCCCTATTTAATCTGTTATCTCTGTGTGATCTGTTATATATTGTTATTGTATTGTTGCAATTTTAAGTTTTTTTTTTTTTAATACTATTTACTATTATGATTATTAACATTGCATTTTTTAGCATTTAATATGTTTTTACAATCCGATTTTTTTTTTTCCCCCCCAATCCTTGATTTCTGTATTGGCTTGGCTACTTTGTAAATGAGGGTCTCCCTGAGGGTACTCAGAGCTTGAATGAAGGTTGGAAAAAAAAGAGGAAAAAATAAATGCAAGCGGTTTCAAAGTTTTGTTTTGTTTTGTTTGTTTTTTTTGCTCTAAAAAGAGCTTGCTTAGCTTTACAAACGTGCGATTTATTTTATTTCCCTTTTTTTCAGGGATGGAATTGACTTTGCCTTCAAGTTTCCAAACCCCAAAGGAGCAGAGTACCCTCCCCCAAACCTGGCTTTTCTGGAAGTGCTCTGCGAGTTCTCTTCCAAACTTCTCCGGCAGGATAAAAAGACTGTGTAAGTAAATATGTTGTGGTGAAATCAGTGTTGGTAAGAAAAGGCTGATTGTCCTTCTGTGATCAAAACTGTGTCCCTATGTTAGAAAAAAACATGACCATTTTGTAGATGTAAGGCAGGAATCCCCAAATGCAACCTTATTTAGAAAAACTAAAAGAGCCAAAACAGTACATTTTAGGTGCTGACATTAAAGTTAAGGTTAGCTTTAGGTCTAGGCATAGCATTACTCAGCAACAGTATTACACAAATAGTGCTCGTGTGTGTGTCTGTGTGTGTGTCTGTGTGTGCATGTGAGTGAGAAACAGATATGTTATGGTTATATATGCTGTAGCAATATCAAAATATAATATGAAATTGTGTTTGCAGACATTCATACTTGGAGAAGTTCATGACCGAGTACATGATGGAGCGGAGAGAGGATGTATGGTTGCCACTGATCGCCTACAGGAACTCTCTACTAACGGGAGGAGATGAAGACCGCATGTCTGTTACGACGGGCAGCACCACCAGCAGAGCCAGCACAGTGCGCAGCAAGAGGGGCCGACCGCCACTGCACAAGAAACGTACAGACGGTGAGGTTACCCTTAGATTCTTTTTATTTTTATATATATATATATATATATATATAGATTATATATATATATATATATACTCTAATTTCTCAGAAACAGTAATGTTGTTGGAGAAGAATAAAACGCTCTGAATTCAGTTCATGGAGGCCTTGCTAATTAGCTGATGAGCTGAATCGGGTGTGTTTAATGAAGTAGTGTGCTGAAGTCTGCCATGAGTCTTTTTATCAAAGATTTCACAATATACAAAGGAAAAACAGTCCCATACCCCCAAACCCCACTCATCCCACCCACCCTATAAATTCCAGTATTACATGAAAACTGGGGTATTGTAACTTGAAATAAATACATATTGTGGTGTCACATTTTATCCACATATGTCAGGAAGGGCTGCCAAATCCTATAAGGTCTCTGTACAAATCCTTGATGAGAGTATCTTATTTTCTCTAGCTTGAGATATTGCATAATCTCTTTGATCCACTGAGAATAATTAGGGGGAAGAGGGTCCTTCCACCTAAGCAGTATTAATCGCCTGACCAGCAAAGTGCAAAAGGCCAGTATGTTGCATTTATATTTTTTTAGTGGGGTATCTGGTGGTGCAACACCAGATAATGCAATATAAGGAGAGTAGCCTATTGGTTCTTCCAGGATTTTAGAGAGAGTATACAAAATAGATTTCCAAAAGTGATGTAATCTTGGGCATGTGCAAAGCATATGTAGTAAACTTGCAGTGTCTTGCTTGCACCTATCACATGTAGAATGCAAATTAGGTCTAATTTTGGACAGTCTAACCTTATACCAATATACCTTATACCAAGTCTATACATCTTGAATTTTATGACAAAATTCCTTTGACAAATAATAAAAAAAAAATTATATTCTGTTCAATTCAGTTGATTTACATTTATGAAGTTCTTAGAATAGACATTACAAAGCTCATTTAGAGTTTATGCGGAGTTATGCAGTAACTGAGGTTTGGTAGAGAAGCCATATCTGAATTCCTCTTCCCCGGCTAAATCCCTGCATGTATTCCTGCTCCATATAAGTCTCACAGCACTATGTCACTGCCTTGTATCCGATTAGGGACTAGATTTAGCACCTAACCACAATGCTGATCTCTGCTTTCTCTCTCTTTCTGTGCATAAAGCAGCAGATGAAAGTGTGGACGGCTCGTGGGTGATACGCAACGACACCATTCAGACTCCTGGAGGTTTGCAGACACCGCAGCTCACATCCACAGTGCTAAGGGAGAACCCGCGACAAGCAGCAGAACATATCCCAGAGCAAGACTCCTCAGAACCAGGCTCTGAACCCGACTACATTCACAAGTATGGACCAGACCTAAATAAGCACTCACACATGCTGCTGATGAAAGATTTCCAGATATTGTTACAAGGTGACTGTTCACTCGTCCTTGTTTTCTTGCGTGACCACCTGTGTCGTCTCCTCTCAGTCCACAGATGCAGATGTCATGGCTCGACCAGCAGAAGATGGAAGAGGTGAACAGGAAAGAGAGAGGCGGCATGAACTACATGAAGGCGCGAAGCGGCGGCGTAAGGCAACAAGTGTAAGTACTTCTAGCGTTGGGGATGTTCACCTCCCAGTCCAGCTACTCCGGTAGTACTGCAGTAATCTCAGCCTTAGATGCTCTGCCCACAAACGCACACAGACTGTCTGATATCTAATGTACACTCAGACGGTCGCAACCATCAAAGTCTTGTTATTCGCTGTCAGCACTGCTGTCTCTAGTCTTCCATACATTTTCAGTGGTCAGACACAAAACAAACTCGCCGGTTTGTAAAGATTTTGTGAAGTTCGTGTCACGCTATCTTTAAAGGTTATTCAAGGGTTTTGTCAGTGTTACAACAGTAGCTGTCATTGGTTGATCTGTGGGACAGTCAATGTACCAGTTTACAATAAATGTGTTTACCTGCACTTAATTATCCGATAACTGCGGAAAATCAGATTTTGTTAGTAATCCAGTCAACGCGTTCATGTGCACTTAAACTCCAGGTCTACATGAGTCAGGCAGATTTCTGCTTTGATTTCTGCTTTGAAACCAGCCAATAAACTCACAGAAGAAGACATGGTGTAAACATAATGTAAAACTCAAAGTTCATACTGCGGCTTTTTTTAAAAACATTGCGCCGCTTTATCTGAAAATATGAACACACATTACCTAGAAGATGAAGAATATTTAAATCCTTCATTTCATCAAGCATGTATTTGGTTTCAGCGTCGCTCTGAGTGTTTTGCTGTGTCTCGCTGCAATGTTGCTCACTTATTTCCGGTGCCGCCATCTGTTTTCACACATGCGCAGACAGAGAAATCCAAAAGAAATCAGAGTAAGAGTTTACATGCATTGAGATATCTGATTACTGAGCTGAAATCCAGCTCTCTCTTTATCAGACTTCTTAATCGGGATTTCTAGACCGAGTATTTCTTACTCCGATCTAAGAAATCAGAGTATGCTGTTTAAATGACCGTTTCAATAATCAGATGTTTTATCAGTTGTATTACTAAGAATTTTGCGGAAACTGAAAAGCAGTATTGTGGTATATCAGTATCAATAACGATATCGACTCGCCCTTCTTGTTTGCACCCACTACTTTACTCATTACACCCCAGATTAGAGATGTTAACCATGTTCAGTAACATGGTAGAGCAAAAAATCCTTTAAGAGGAGCTGTTTATATTGCCAGATGATACACATTGTTGCTTATGATTGGCCATGTGACTAGGCCACTGAGCTTCAACCTCCTCATGTCTTGTCATTTCAGACGTGGCTTAATGGAAGATGACGCAGAGCCCATCTTTGAGGATGTGATGATGTCATCGCGTGGTCAGTTGGAGGACATGAATGAGGAGTTTGAAGACACCATGGTGATAGATCTGGTGAGTTCTTTGCTCAAGGCACCTCTTATGACATCAAACTCTGGTTTGATGAGTAAAACTGTATCAGTGTAGACAGTCTTTCTCAAACTGGAACATTCCTGTTAATGTGTTTCTCTCGTCTCAGCCTCCATCAAGAAACAGACGAGAGAGAGCTGAACTCAGACCAGACTTTTTTGACTCCACAGCAATTATAGAAGATGATTCTGTAAGTATCTTTTATGCCAGTTCTGCATGATATGATTGTGTCCTCACTGCTGAGACAAAACCTTGTGTCTCCAAAATGGCTTTTTTCACAAGAAAGAAAGAAAATACATTTTTCATCTTTGATGTGAGTTAAAGAGGAACTCCACCAATTATTCAAAATTCTGAATAATTCAGTCCTTGAGATGTGAACAAAGTCAAAGTGGTTTGGTGTGAAGTGGTTGATTGTAAAGACTCAGATTTCTTTACTGTGGTGGTGATAGGAACCAGGGGTCACCATGACTACAACACAAATATAGATATTTTATTTACTATCCAAAACCACCAGTGAACCTACACGTATCTTCTGAGTTTTTGTACGAAATGTTAAAAAAAATCTTTTCAAAAAAAGTTTTTAGAATCATATCATGGGACTATTTTGCCTGCATGTACCCCTCTGCGATGAAATCATTAAAAAAATTACAGTCTAAGATTAAATCTTTTTCATAAAACTATTGTAAAACAGTGTCTCAACCATCAGGAAGACTAACAATTCTGTGTAATAACTTTCTGTGAGGGAGCTTTTAGAGGCATTAAACTCCTCAGACGTCTGGTTCCCATCACCACCACTGAGAACCATTCTGACTTGGTACATAACTCTAAAATGGAGCACCTCACATCAGACCACTCTGATCGACTTTGTTTACATTTTAACCATAAAATTATGCAGACAAAAAAATAAAATTGGTGGAATTCCCCTTTAATGTTAAAAACTATTTTATTTAATGTAATTTTGGACCATCTATATTGGCTCATTCATCATGAAATTTGCATATAATGTAAAGGGCAGCTGGCGTTTTTAAATTATGTGTGACAAAAATGAAGATGATATATATCGCTGGTGTTGGAACAAAACCTTTTATCTCCATTTTTGTCGTTTTTTCAGTTTTTAACATAATTTGAAAATACCTTTTGCCCTTCATATTGTGTGTAAATTTCATGATGAATGCACCAAAAGAAGCGACCCAAAATGACTTGGAAAAACGTCTGGTTCCATTGACTTTCAATAAAGTAAAATAAGTTTTTTCCTTCTCCTGTAGAGTTACCATTTCGGAGATAAAAGGTTTTGTTCAGACAACAGCGATATGTTAAGATAGTTATGTTAATAGTTTCTTTTCTTGTTTATTCGCAGGGATTTGGTATGCAAATGTTTTGAAGCAGAGAGCAGATTCTGTGGGGGAATCACAACCAGCAATGTCATTTCTCCAATCAAGCAGCACCGTGTTTTGAGAATCACATGTTCAACATTATTTTCAAGCAAAAGACTTTTGTGCTTTTCTCAGTGATAAAGTCACAGTCACATGTTTGACACAGATGAAAAGTTTGGTGATCATACTGAGTTTTAGTGAGGACCAGTGCGTGACTCTCCTGTCTGTCCATCTCTTCTGTTTTATCACGGTACACGCGGCCGAATACGTAACATCAAACATCAAAACGAACTCTTTGTTTTTTGTTTTGTAGCGTTCTCATATAAATTTGTCCCTTTTTTTATGAAGTCCCTGCAAAGCGTGGCATATTTTAACACCGTTTTAAAATGATTGTGAAGTTCATGTACATACTGTATGGGTTTATGTAACGTCACGGTGCGTTCGAGTTGAGCACCACTTTGGCGCTCGGCGAGTTTTCCTACTTTAAATGTGGACACACACATACGGAGGAGGAAAGTGGGATTATCAGGAGTTCAACAGCAGCTTGGTTTTTTCCTCAGATGCGATATTAACAGCTCGCCAGTTTACACTTTACTAGTTTGCGTTTACCTCCTCTGGTTAAAGAGCCTCTTCGAGTGGTTTGACCGTCAACTTTCCATCTGTGAATACGTCCCAGCTGTAGAACATCTACACGATACTGTGTGTCTGTGAATGTTATCTGTTATCTATCGGGACGTGACGTCCCGCGTATGAAAGCGCATCAGCCTTCATTTTAGAGCGTCAATGTGGTATTCACGAGTGATGTCATATCCCTTGTTTAGGATGGTGCCTATAGACTACATTGCTATTTTAATTAGGACTCATCAAGCTGGGGGGGTTACCATTCGTTCACCATGTTGACTGTTCATTTTTTTTATGTTTAAATAAAGGTATTTAAAAAGTATTTTCAATTAAGTAAATTTGCAAGAGCTATCGGAACTCGAGTGTTTGGTTTTTTTTTTTGGTTTTTTTGTTGTTTTTTTGGCACAATATTTTTGTTGTTGTCTGTCCCCAAACTGTACTGGAAGTATTTCTTCATGGCCAGAACAAAAATTTAAATATTAGCTGTTTTATTTTTTGTTTTGTTTGTTTTATTTTCCCTTTTGGTCACTCCCTACCCGCATTAATTCTCAATGAAAATCCACATAGACGAGAGATTATGTGCGTTTTCTCCAGCTATTGGGAAGAAAACTGTTTGGCCTTCAAAATTCCCGACGGGCGGTTTCTTTTTCTTTATGACTGATATACAGTTTGTTTGATCAAGAAGTCATTTTCCTGCCACCCTGCTTGGAATAATCGGTCAACTAGATTTTAACAGTTGCTCTGGAGAGAAGTCTACATTTTGTTTCTGTGTTGTTGTTGTTCAGTACCAACAAAATGCATTTTAATAAAAATGGATTATTCATAAGTTGTGTTTGTGTTCTAAAAATACTGGAGTTTGATGGTTGGTGTTAAAGGAGACAGCAGTGTTCTCCAACTCGGATCCTGTGCAGCGCTGCACGGCTTAAAAAATAAATAAATTACATGACTGGGGGCGTGCTCCCCAAGCAGAAATAAGAAAATGGCCCTAAAATGTCTTCACTTAAAGTAGAAATGGACATAAAATTAGATGTTTGGACAAGCCAGCATACAGTAGGTCTGTCGCTTCATTCGAATTTTCCCGTTCCACCTTAAATGGCGCATCAGCAATCTTATTGTTCGAATGTTCCCGTTCCACCTTAAAATGGTGCAGCTTCAGGCACCAGAAGGTAACTGCTGCACCATTAAGGTGGAACGGGCAAACTCGAACAAGAAGCTGGCGAAAAGGAAGCCAATTTTATCTTAATTTTACCTTCTTACTGTGTTTTTTGGAGGGTTTATTTTATTGTTCTGTGTATTAAGATTAGAAGTGATTCACACACTGATGGATTTGCTGATGTGTGTGAGACTGTGTTTCTATCAGAGCTTCGGTTTTTAACTTCAGGTGCAGACTGAATACTTTCCAGCTGGTCTGGACGGCTAATTATCACGATCAGTTATTAAAGATATAAAGGCTACCGAGAGCAGTCAGTGCAGCTGGATTAATCTGTGTTTGAGGATTATAACAAAACAGATTTGGTGAGAATCGGTTGAGTAATAAGGAAGTTGTGGCCGATTTAATCCTGAGACTCTTCGTCTCTCAGTGTAAGTGCGTTTGTTCACAAGCGGATCTTGACCGCTCCAACATGGCGGACGCGCAAACGTATCACCTCAGCTAGAGAACAACAGACAACGCGGCATCTAGGTAAGTATATCTATTGCTCAGCCAATCAGATCTTAGGACCGAAACTATACATCCATTTGCAAAACACAGATCAGGAAAAAAAACGGCCTCACTTTATATGGATAGTCCCCTATTGATTATCTACAGATGTTCAAATTGTTAACAAACTATCTGTTGATTCTAAACAGTGGTGGGGTTGGGGTTAGGTTTTGGACCGGGGGTTAGGATTTGGACCAGGGTTAGAGATAGGATCAGGGTGAGGGTTGGGTTTAGGTTTTGGGTTGAGGTTAGGATTAGAGCAGATTTAGAGTTAAAGAAAATTATGGTCAATTTAGTAGATATTTAATTCAATGTAACTTGAAAGTAAATTCAGTGTCTACAAAGCATCTAAAGTGGACTATCCAAATAAAGCAAAAGTCCTGAAGTCAAGCAGTGCTATCTCTGTCTTAGATAAGACACGTCCTAAGCTTTTAGCCAATTGAACAATGAAGAATGAATGAAACGGCCGCATCTGGGTGTCATTTTGTCCGAAAAATTCTGCCACTTGAAGGCCATTCAGTGACCTTACATCAGGACTTATTTCTGCCTGTTATTTCCTTTTTTCAGCTTATAAAGTAGACACATCTCTTCATTCAGCATGGCTGATTTTTAAAAATACTACCAATTAAAACTCCCAAGCAGTGGTCGCTGAGCTTCGTTATAGTCACCAAAGCCGTGGTGCCTTCATTAATGAAACAGTTTGCAGCACTTATTTGCTGTACTGTTGTTTATTGATTGACTTTTGCCAATACATTCATTTATAATCCTTTTTTTCCCTCTTGTCACGTTTATCATTATCAAAGAATTCAAATGAAAATATGTTCCACAGGCCTTTGTACATTTTTGTGTTTGGAGTAATTAACGAGTTGAATCAGGTGTGCTGGATGAGACAAAGCACAAAAAATGTGCATAGTGTGGGGTCTCCAGGACCAGGACTGGGATTGGGATTGGGACCCCCTGATGTATCACAACACGCAGATCAGACAAATCATTTATTTCAGTTTATTTCAATGACAAACAGTGGAGCAGAACCTGCACTGTGAAGGGCTGTAACTGATACAGGGAATATTTTTGTGAACCTCATCTTCACAGGTTGGTTCATCTGTGTACGTTCATGTTTCATGTTCTATCTGTGTTCCTGTCAGTCACGGTTTCATCTCAAATTCAGAGTATTTGTGTTACAGAACAGTTACATGTGGACCACAGCACATCGTCACTGTCCAGAACAAAACACTTTTATTTGAACAACATGTTCCACACAGTACCTGACATCGGAACGTACTTCATGATGGTGATTTCACATAGAAAAAAGTACTAGACTCTTAAAAAAGAGTTCATCAAGGGTTCTAAAGGGAATGGTCCGACAGAGTTCTGGATATACCATTTCATGCCTAAATGGTACTTTGCACGGTAAAATGGCTCTTCAGATTAAAGGAGAACATGTAAATGGTTCTATATAGCACCAAAAAGGGTTCTGATATTGTTACGAAGTCATGCTTGTAACAATAGAACAACACTTTTTGGAGCTATATAGAATTATTTTCAAAAAGGTTCTATATAGAACCCCATACAACACATTCTCCATCAGTGTGATGAACTATTTCACCATGTAAAGAACTACACACTTTAAAAAAGATGGTTCTTCAAGGGTTCTATAGTAAAGAAAATGGTTCTACATAGAACCATGAATACTCAAACCAATCTTTGCATGATTAAAGGGCTCTTTGCATCATGAAAGTGTTCTTCAGACTGATGGAGAAGGTGCCATAGATGTACATAGAACATTTTTGAAAATGGTTCTATATAGCACCAAAAATGTTTCTACTGTTACAAGCTTGACATTGCCGTAATAAAAGAACCTCTTTTGGTGCTATATAGAACCATTTTCAAAAAGGTTCTATATAGAACCATCTATGGCACCTTCTCCATCAGTCTGAAGAACACTTTCATGATGCAAAGAATTATGCAAAAGGTTCTATGAGTGTTCATGGTTCTATTTGAAGCCATTTTTCTAAAGAACCCTTGAAGAACCTTCTTTTTAAACTGTATTTGAGCATGAAATAGTTGTATAATAATTCTCATAATTCTCAGTAGAACCATTCTGTTTACTGAAGAACCCTTGAAGAACCATGTTTTTCAAAGTGTATGGTAACGGCCACAGAGTATTTGCACTGAGCATAAAATTCTAGTCCTGCTCAGTTTGTAACACAACACTGAGGCAGACAATAACAAAATGAGGTTCTTCTGCTGTTCTAGACAAAATGAGGACGACCAGGAGGAAAAATACAGTTTCAAAGAATGTTCAGATCAAGAAACTACCATCAAAGAGCAGATTCAGCTGGAACCAGAGAAAACGTTCTCAGAAGTGGACGAGAAAGCCCTGACCGAGCTGGTCACTAACATCTGAGAGAATATGGATTGAGAAAAGATGGATGAGGAAAAAGCAGGGGAAGCCGGAGAAGCTGTTCAGTAGAGGAGAAGGAAAAGGATGAAATGAGGATCTGATAAGAGGACGTAAAGATGGTGGAGAAGGTGCAGAAGAAGAGGAGGGAGTGAAGGAGGAGGTGCAGGAGCTGATGGTGTTTAAGGAGACCATAGGTGACCATACCACTAACTGACTGTAATTGTAAACATATAAAGGGCACATATGATAAACATTAAAAAGAAAACAAAATAAAAGTCTGTTTTCTCAATGATCTGTAAAATTACAGTCATTTAAGTTCTTAGAAATGCTGCCTTTTACTGCAGTTCAACACTTTCACTAGTTCAAGTACACACTATGATGGTTCCTCACTGGTTCTTTAGTAAAGAAAATGGTTCTATATAGAACCGTGAACTCTCAAAGAACCCTTTGCGTGATTAAATGGCTCTTTGTATGGTGAAATGGTTCTTCAGATTGATGGAGAATGTTCTGTAGATGGTTCTATATAGCACCTTATTGAAAATGGTTCTATGTAGCACTCTGCAATTTTGCAATCTGAAGAACCTGTGCACGTTGCAAAGAACACTTTAATCATGCAAAGTGTCCTTTGAATATTCATGGTTCGACATCTCCATTTTCTTTACTAAAGAACCCTTGAAAAAACATCTTCCTTAAGACTGTAGTTATTCAGATGTACAGTATTTTACCAGCACTGCAGTAACACTGACATGGTGGTGGTGTGTTAGTCTGTGTTGCGCTGGTCTGAGTGGATCAGACACAGCAGTGCTGCTGGAAATTTTAAACACTGTGTCCACCCACTGTCCACTCTATTAGACACTCCTACCTTGTCAGTCCACCTTGTAGATGTAAAGTCAGAGATGATAGCTCATCTGCTGCTGCACAGTTTGTGATGGTCATCCTCTAGTGCTTCATCAGTGGTCACAGGACGCTGCCCACAGGACGCTGTTGGCTGAACATTTTTGGTTGGTGGACTATTCTCAGTCCAGCAGTGACACTGAGGTGTTTAAAAACTCCAGCAGCACTGCTGTGTCTGATCCACTCACATCCACTGTGAGGATCCATGGGGGTCCTGACCACTGAAGAACAGGGTAAAAGGGGGCTAACAAAGTATGCAGAGAAACAGACGGACTACAGTCTGTAACTGCAGAACTACAAAGTGCACCTATATAGTAAGTGGAGCTGATAAAATGGACAATGAGCGTAGAAACAAGGAGGTGGTCATAATCTTATGCCTGATCGGTGTATGTTTCGTTTATTTGCATGCATTTAATTATTTTTTAAAAAAATGCATATTGACTGTTAAATTGTACAGTACTTTGACAGTGAATATACTTTTTTGATTTAGGTGTAGATGAGAACAAGAATGTAGATACAAGGTAGAGATATCTGATAAACTGACAACTCAGTGCACGTCTCAAGTCAGGTCTCAAATCATTGGTGTTAAAGTCAAACTCGAGTTGAGAGTCTTCTTAATTTCGCTGAATTGAGTCTGAAGTCAGTAAATCCATGATTGGAGTCCAAGTCATGTGACTCATGTTAACACTCCATTAGGACTCATATAAAACAACCTTCAGTTGATTCTTCATTTTTAAATTGTTGCTCCACATCTGCTGAGTCTGTGAAAGCAATGAGAGGGACTACCTACATGGAAAAACAATATATGGACATATATTTTTGTATATTTGAAATAAGTCAAATACAGTGTAATCCATGCCGGCATATAGTCCAAACACTAAAATGTATCTCGGAATATATTTCCATATTAAAATGTATGCAAAACTACGAAAACGGACTCCATACTTCTTAACAATCTGACCCAGTTAAACATATGCAAAAAAAAATAAAAGTGGGCCAAGTACAGAGCCTTGCGGCACACCACAGAGTATGTCATGTTTGTCTTACCCAAGTCGTATAGACTAACAAAATATTGTCTTCCAGTTAAATATGTTGAGAATCACTTCCAAGAAGACCAACCAAGTTTTCAAGCTGTTTATGATGTGTCCTATGATCTACAGTGTGATGATTAAATGCAGCAGTTAAATCCAGAAGCACAAGCACTGCTGTGGTCAGTATTTATTCTCCCGTTGAAAGATGCTGGGCAGCTTCAAGCCTCATTAACTTCAGTTATGTAGCAGTCAAGCTATGCTTTTTGTAAATCTTCTAATTTATTTCTTCACCGCTGTGCCAAAGGCTGTCAACTGCTCTGGGAAATGTGATGTGAAGAGACTAAAATGTTTTACATTGTTGAAGGAAAAACAAGACTTCTTACCAAACATCTGGACACATGCTATTGTTTTAAATAGGCCATATCCTACATTTTTCTTGTATTGTTTTTTTTTTTCTTTTTCCCTGAAGTCCACTTTTGTGATGTTTGTTTGGTTCTATGTATCAAAAACAGTCGCAATTCACTTTACATGACCATTTTCCCACCTCACTTCATCTCTTGGAATTAAACAGTGGTGGACAGTAACTAAGTAAATGTAATTTGTTACTGTACTTAAGTAGTTTTTTGTGTATCTGTACTTTACTGAAGTGTTTCCATTTTGGGTGATTTTTTACTTTCACTTCACCACATTTCAGAGTCAAATATCTTTTATCTTTTTACTCCTCTACATTATGCGAAATCTGTCGTTCCTTTTGGTTTATGTGTGTATAAAAACGTAACGTCAAAACGTAAGAAGAGCAAAGCAAGAACACCAATCAGGGCACAGCGCACTTAGTTTTGAGCTTGTTTTGACCTGTTGGTCATACCGACCCAGTGCAGGCAGACGGTTCAACGTCAGTGCAGCAGCGTAAAATTTTGGGAGTGTCTATTCAACATAAATGATGAACTAACCTAACTTTGTGTAAATAGACCACAATATAGAAATATGTACACATATGTAGTTGTGACTGACGTGTCTTTTTTCTGAATTTATACAAACACTATTTCATTTTATAGTAAATTTGTTTTGGCTAGTTTATGTTTATGAACAGAGACCTACAGACGCAGTTTAGTAAAGGAAAACTCATTTGTGAACCTGAGTTTAAAGTTTTTATTAAACTTAAACTTGTAACTAAGTTAAACTGAAACTTTGCTTGTTTGTAAAAAGTGATTTCAGAGCCACTCAGTACTACCTGATGGAAACTGTTTGCCTTCAGTGTTTTGTGCTTATGATAATTTTAATAGAAATCAGCCTCAGACTAATGAATGACATTCTATTAAAAGACTGGTTTACCAAGAGTGACACTGGAGTATTTTCACCTGAGTTAATGAAGCAGAGTCATGTTACAAAAATGATAATAGGACATCAGAGTTATAATTAATCTTTTACTTTTACTTCTGATACTTAAGTACATTTGAAGGCAAATACTTTTGTACTTTTACTCAAGTGGAGGTCTAAAGGGAGGAACTTCTACTTTTACTGGAGTAATATTTTACCTTGGGTATCTCTACTTTAACTCAAGTACATGGTTTGTGGACTTCGTCCACCACTGGAATTAAACATGTGGGCCTTTAAAACTGATATATAGAAATGTTCTGCTTAGCTGCCCTTTATTGTGCCTCTTTCAAAAAGCATATCCCTCCCTAAAGCCTCGATGTGAATGGGTACTTAACTGCTATAGGTTGCAAAGACAGATATATGTAAATGCAGTGGTTTGTGTGACATCACAAAAACAGTGAGAGAGTTTTAAACACCACTGTGTCACTGCTGGACTGAGAATAGTCCATCAACCAAAAATATCCAGCCAACAGCGTCCTGTGGGCAGCTTCCTGTGGCCACTGATGAAGGACTAGAGGATGACCAACACAAACTGTGCAGCAGCAGATGAGCTACCGTCTCTGACTTTACATCTACAAGGTGGACTGACAAGGTAGGAGTGTCTTATAGAGTGGACAGTGAGTGGACACAGTGTTTAAAACCTCCAGCAGCACTGCTGTGTCTGATCCACTCGCACCAGCACAACACACACTAACACACCACCACCACGTCAGTGTTACTGCAGTGCTGAGAATGATCCACCACCCAAATAGTACCTGCTCTGTGAGGGTCCATGGGGGTCCTGACCACTGAAGAACAGGGTAAAAGGGGGCTAACAAAGCACGCAGATAAACAGATGGACTACAGTCTGTTATGTACGAATTATTCGTTTATATCCATTCTTGCTGAATAAAATGACTGGGGTGGGCGTCAGCCCAACGTAAGATCACGTTTAGGACCCCTAAATGTTGAGAAACGACCCTGTCTGTCCTCCTCCTCCTCCTCCTCAGCCCTCCACCTACGTAACGTTTATGTAACCAAGGGAACAGTTCAATCCCGCCATGTTCTCGGACCTCGCCGTGTTCTCGCGAGACTCGGGGGGCAGCAGCGGCAGCAGCAGCGCCCCCTCCTTGTGCTAATGCAGAGAGGAAAAGGGAGGGGAGAATCGCTACAGCCCCAGCAGCCTTTTCAAACACAAATACACCGCACATTTTACACGTTTCCCCAGCAGAAACCCGGACCCCGAGAGTCGGATATCGTCTACGATCGGCATCCCGCTCCCAACGCGTCCCGAGGCGGCGGCAGGGCGGCTGGACAAACCCAACAAACCCCGGACCGGAGAAAAGCGGCCTGTTTTGTTCCTGATCTCCCGGAGCCGAGGCTCAAGCTCGCTGGCGACCGGTGGAGCAGCTTCTATCGCCTCCTTTCATGCTTTTTTGGACGTTTCTTCTTTCCTTTTTGCCTCGCCGTGCCCGTGTACTTCAAGTTATGTCGCTGACGTGAGCTACTAAGCTAACGAACTGAAGCTAACGTTGTTTTCGGCGGCTCGCGAGAAAGTCGTCCGAAAAGCGGGCCTGTTTTGTTTTTGCAGCGCCATGAAAAGCAGAGGGGCACAATAACACACACACACACACACACAGACATATATCCGTACACACACACTGGTTCCTCGGCTCTCCGCCTGCGCCGGGCGCTAACGTTAACGCTAACGGCGGCTCGCTCGCCGCGAGGAAGGCAGGTGATGTGAAAAAGCGGCGCCGCGGCCGCGAAACGACGACTGGAGTCGACGACGGGGAGCTAACGCGACCCCAGCAGGTGGAAAGAAATCTGGAAGGTTTGAATCCAGCAGCTCCGGGCTGCTCTTTGGAGGCCAGCTAGCGTTTAGCGTTAGCATTACGGCTCCTCCGCGGCGAAGAGCGCCGCCACTGTTATTGTTGTTGAATTTGAAAACGAAAAAAGGCGAAAGAAGCTGATATCCCCCCTCCTCCTCCTCCTTCACCTCCTCCTCATCCCCCCTGAAGAAACAGGCCCTCTTCTTCCCAGCAAGGGTCGTTTTTTTCGGATTCAGCACGAGCTCATGATGATCATTCGGGCTCGTTTTCTGTCACGGATGAGAGGAAAAGCCGTCAGAAGTAATGGGGTGGTGGTGGTTGTGCTGAACGCGATGTGCGCCGCTGTGCTTCTGTGGAAAGACATTTCCAGCGTACGTGTGCGCTGATCAGCTCCCCGTGCTAACCGGGCTACAACGCTCAGCCGTGGATTATAATATACACCTATATAGCTTATATATGTACGAGTTGGGCTCCGGTCACCGCGTGGAACGTCTGCGGAGACGTCGGACTTGCAGCCCGTGAACATTATCACGGAGGACGGCGTTGGTCAGCGAGGTCCGCCTTCCTTCCTAGCCAAGGCATTAATCTGACTGGGCCACATTGTGGAGAACGTTGGCCGGCGGGACCTGCTGCGTGATCCTTTCCTCCCCCCCTTTCTCTCTCTCTCTCACTCTCTCTTTCTCTCTCCCTATCTCTCTCTCTCTGTTTATTTTCTCCCCGAGCTGCATCTGTCGAGCCCTGAGACTTGCTGAGGATGAACCCGGTGAATGCGACCGCTCTCTACGTGTCCGCTTGCCGTTCGGTGCTGCAGTGCGATCCCCGGGACCCCCAGGCTTTAGCCGAGCTCTATAAGCTACTACCGTTCTTCAGACAGTCCCTCGCCTGCCTAGTGTGCGGTAAGCATCCATCTAGTGTTTTAGCGCCTTTTGTTTTTTTACCCCTCATGAATGTGTATGTGTTGAGTCGTTTGCACGTAGCTCCTCCTTCTCCTCCTCCTCCCCCTCGGCTCTGTCGAGCACGACACACCCCCGTGGAGTCCCAATGCAAACACAGTTCATTTTTATCCATCTGATATTCTGTGTATACCTCTTATTAGACCTGCACGTGTGTAGATATTCATATCTGCAGGTTTGCAGATATTCACACATCCGTTTTTAAACTCATTCCACATCGGCTCGTTGTCACTTTCTTGTTTTTTATTCTCTTCAGGGGTTCTTTAGTAAAGAAAATTGGTTCTGTATAGAACCATGAACACTCAGAGAAACCTTTGCATGATTCTTTGCATCCATGATTGATGGAGAATGTGCTGTAGATGGTTCTATATAGGACCTTTTTGATAAGAGTTCTATATAACTTGTAATAATTGGAAAAGCCCTTTTGGTGCTGTATAGAACGATTTTCAAAAAGGTTCCATGTACAGCAGATTCTCCATCAATCTGACGAACCCTTTTGTGATGCAAAGAACCCTTTAAGCATGCAGAGGGTTCTTTGAGTGCTCATGGTTCTATACAGAACCATTTTCTTTCCATTTTTAAGTGTGTAGTCTCCTTAAAAGTGTGCTTGTCTGGTCATACATCGCCAAGATAAGTCCCTCGCATGTGTCACATATTTGGCAAAATAAAGGGATTCCTCTTTTGAAGCATGCCTGTTCAGTTAGCATGCTGTTACTGATTATGTGGTATGTTGTTTTCAAATTTTTTCACGTGCCATGGGCAGTGCACATTTTTCAGGTCCTTGCAAGCATTTAAGAATATAAAATAAATCTAGGTTCAGTTGCACATTCGTTGCTCTATGTATTGCATCTGAATTGTGCAAGCATGCATTTTCCTACCTGAACATGTAGATTAATCCGTGTGTAATTAACCGCAGGTGACAGTGGAATTCATTGGAAATCCCCCCCATGGGTATGCAGACAGGGATACGGGATATTTTTAACCGGAGTGATTCATGAGCAGTTCGGTTTGCATGTCGTGATGCGATTTCTATTTGACATGCATGGTGCTTAAATGTTTACAAGTAGATTTGTGTGAGTGATTTTAACATTTTTAATCCATTGCACAGTGAGTAGCAGCCTGCAGCTTGCACTGAGGTTGTTGACAAAGAGCGCCATCTACTGACATAGTTGCACCCACTGCATGCTGAAATGTTTTCAAGTCAACCATGAAGTCTTTTTAATCTCAAATAATTAGTCTGTTTCTTTGCGCAGGGAAGTTGCTCCAAGATCCGATCGCCCCGACCAACTCATCGTGCCAGCACTATGTCTGCAAAACGTGTAAAGGCAAAAAGATGATGATGAAGCCGTCTTGCAGCTGGTGTAAGGACTATGACCAGTTTGAGGAGAATAAGCAGCTATGTATTTTGGTAGATTGCTACAGGAAGCTCTGCGAGTACATCGCAGAGTCTCCCCTTGCCTCCCACATTTCAAGTGCTGTGGGGGGATCCCCGGACATACTGGCTCTGTTGAACGAGGGCCTTTCGTTGGACAATAACAAACAGGGGGAGGACTCTCTTTCACTGAGCTTGACGCAACAGTCTCCTCCTCCCTCAACCTCGGAGACGCCTCCTGAGGAGGATCCGTCGCCCCATTCGTCCGAGGTGAAAGAGCAGACCCTGAGTCCGTTAGGGGTGAACGGCCTTCAGGACTGTAACGGGTTAAGTAACGTGGACGAGTTAACATCCAGCTTGCCCTCACCTCACAGTAATGTCCCGGTGACAGTGGAAGTGGAGGGTGAGGTGGTGAAACAAGAGAACTTTAGTAATGAAATTCCTGTAAGTGAGGCTGTGGCAGCGGCCGGTGAGGAGCTTTGTGCCAGCAGCATGGACATATGCGGTTTCGGAGAGGACATAAAGCACGATGGGGGTACTCTCTTGTTGAGCGTTGAGGAGGTGCTCAGGACTCTGGAGCCAGACCACGTTCCTCAGGATGAGTGCCCTGCTATCCTACAGTCAAGCCTCGAGGCTTCAGGGAACATAAACGGACCGTTTGGCTGTTCCACCACCTCTGCTGATTCTTCTCGGCAGCTTTCCTCCCTTCCCCTTGACTCTGCAGGGGTCTTGGCGCCCCAGCATCCGGCCACACAGCAGAACCCTCAGCCCTCCTCTGGAATATCCTGTTCTGCTGTTACTCCCAGAGTGCCACGGTCTAGCCGTAAACGCTCCCGCTCTGAGAGCGACAGCGAAAAGATTCTGCCCCTGCCCATCTCTACCATTATCAGGGGGCCCGCTCTTGGTGCCTCTGTGACTGTTCCTGTCAAGTGTGAACCTAAAGCTCCAGCACAGGCTGCACCCCACATGGCGGCTGTCCCCAACGGTGGGGGGTTGTCGAAAGTGGGGAAGGCCTTGTTGGTGCCCAGTAAAAGTGTCAAAAAGCCTCTTGACCAGCATGGACCCAAAAAGGCGTACACAAAGGCAAAACAGACCACTCCCAAGTCGAAAGATAAGACGAAAGAACGGATTGCGACCAATCCCCTTGTTCCGGGGAGCCCGACAAAAGTGGTGTACAAGAAGCCGCAGGAGAAGAAGGGCTGCAAGTGCGGCAGAGCCACCCAAAACCCAAGTGTTCTTACGTGTCGGGGCCAGCGATGCCCGTGTTACTCCAACCGCAAAGCCTGTCTGGACTGCATATGCCGAGGCTGCCAGAACTCCTACATGGCCAACGGTGAGAAGAAACTGGAGGCGTTCGCCGTGCCGGAGAAAGCCCTAGAGCAGACCAGGCTCACCCTGGGTATCAATGTCACCAGCATAGCAGTGAGAAACGCGGCCGGCAGCGGGGCTGGGGGGGTGCTGAATGTCACCTCTGCCGCAGGCCCACCTGTAGCCACGTTTTTAGCTGCTGGACATCATGAAGACAAGGGTTTTGATGAGACTTTGGATATGAGGTTTGACTGTTGAGCCCCGCACAATGCTCTTACCATCGCACCCCCTTATTCCAGCCTGGCTCACTCTTGGCAAGGTGCCACCGAGACCTGGAGGGGAGCCAGCGGAGTCAACAAAATAAGGCAGCTACTGTGATTCTGTTCCAGTTCATGTTATCAATTGAATTAGTCGTTGCTGAAGCTTGTGCCTATAAATCACTTGTAACTTGCTTTTTTTTGTTGTCTTACACACTATTGTGAATTAGAAAAGAGTCATGTTACTGTAAGTTGAAAATTCTTTTGGCAGAATTTTTTTTTTTTTTTAATTATTATTGTTTCACTACAAGTGATCTATACGCCATGATCTTTGGCAAGAAATGCTTGACCTCGTTGTTGTGGGTCATGTTATGTGCATATGTGGATGACTTTTGAGTTAGTAGGCTAGAAGACGAGACCTGTTCAAAGAAATGGTACCTGCTATGTCAGTAGAGACTGGTTGTATTTATAAACATTTTTGTACACAGACCTATGGAATTCAATTTAAAAGTACATTTTATGATATATTTTTTAAGTTACATTAACAACATTTGCAGTATTTATTGGGCATCACTTAACATAGATTGCAGTCCATCTAGGGCTTCATCAGGATACCATTTCTACAGATGCAAGTCACTGAGATGCAGTATGTTCGGTTTCTGTCTAAATTATGTTGCAGTCCTGTTTGTGCTAGTTTATGCTGTCTAAAACTTTTTTTCCCTTGGGGCATTTAAATACCTGTAATATAAATGTAACATATTTCCACATAAAAAGAAAAAATCTAAACCTGACTCCTGTCTTTTATTTTTCTGACAAAATGATTGAACATGTTTTGAAGTTGGTAGAAAGACATTTTTAGTAATGAGACTTTTAGGAAATTTAGCCTTGTCTTGAGTTGGAATGTTTGATGCAGTTAGCCTTTAGTACCACAAGAGGGCAGAAGAGAGGTGTGGAAAAAAGTCCTGCTTTCAAAATTAAAGGGTGAAAAACTGAGGGGTCTTATCTCTTTCAGGGGAATAATTTGGACATTTATAACATCTGCATTTCTGAAAAGTGCACCTTTCACTTGCATAATTTTTCAAATCGTCACTGTCCGAAGAAAAGCAAGCATCTCCAAAACAGCAACTTTACAGGAGAAGGCAAAAACAGTCTTACCTTTCAATGTAAGTCAATGTAAAGACATTTTATTTCAAGTGATTTTGGAGCATTTCTATTGGTCCATTCATCATAAAATTGTCGCAAAGGACAGCTTGTGTGTTGAAGTAACGTAGAACAATAAAAATCAACAAAAATGGATCTGTTTCTCTCTGAACCGCGACGAAATGCAAGTACCAAAGCAATTAATGTATTTTTTTTATTTATTTTTTGTTTGCATGCATTACAAAACATTGTGTCTTGCAGATGTAGACCTTTGTCTCTAATCTTTTTTCTGTTGTCGAAATTCAATCTGCCACTTTGTTGATATGAGAACCTTGACCGTGGCCTTTCATTTCTTTGATTTGTGATGGTTCTCTGGTTTTTACCTCTTTATTTACGTGGTTGGTCATTCAAGAGTTGTTTCCATCCACCAGTCGCTGCTGCTGCTGTTTTGCTTCCATGGCTGTTTCCCCCCTCCCTTCTTTTTCCACAGCCATTACAGGAATCTTAATCTCCTATTTACCTGCACATTGCTTTTTTTCAGCTCACAAGGTCATACATTTGGGTTCCACAAATTGGGTGACCAATCATCTTGCTACCAAACGACTTGGCGAGCCCCTTACATAGAGTTCTGCCTTCTGAGCAGATGCTACACCTTTGGTTTCTCAAGGCCTTCGATCCACTGATCCATGTGGTTCCCTGTACTTTTACCTCCTTATTTATGTAGGGGGTCATTCAAGAGTTGTTTCCATCCACCAGTCGCTGCTGCTGCTGTTTCGCTTCCATGGCTGTTCCCCCTGCCTTCTTTTTCCACAGCCATTACAGGAATCTTAATCTCCTGTTTACCTGCACATTGCTTTTTTCAGCTCACAAGTTCTCAACTTGTTTCAGGTTACTTTGGCATGCCATGTCAGTCTTTGATGTCACATTACAGGAATCTTAATCTCCTGTTTACCCGCACAATGCTTTTTTTCGGCTCGTAAGGTCATGCACTCAGGTTCTACCAATTGGGTGACCAATCAACTTGCTACCAAACGACTTGGCGAGCCCCTTACATAGAGTTCTGCCTTCTGAGCAGATGTTATGAGCTACACCTTTGGTTTCTCAAGGCCTTCGATCCACTGATCCATGTGGTTCCCTGTACTTTTACCTACTTATTTATGTAGGGGGTCATTCAAGAGTTGTTTCCATCCACCAGTCGCTGCTGCTGCTGTTTTGCTTCCATTACTGTCCCCCCCTCGACCCCCACTCCCCCGCCTTCTTTTTGCACAGGCCATGCACTTTCGCTTCCTCTACAGAAACTCCTGTCGCCATCCTGAACAGTATTAGCAAACAGATTACGTTTACATAGATTTTTTTCTCCACATTTTTTCTTCCATTAATTGCTTTCAGTGTCAATTAATTTGATTGTATTCAATTCTGTCTGCCCAAACCACTGCCTTCTGATGGAGGTAGGCTTGTTGGAACATGGTGAAAGCGGATGCCAACTATTATTAACCAAGAAAGTACCTGTATGATGTCATGACTCGGGTTACCTTTTTCACCTTTGCTGTGGCCATTATGGTCTAATATGACTGGTCCTGAGTAACCCACTGAGCATGCTCTGTTTAACATGCCCCTTGAGGACAAATGACTAACATGGATTGGGAACTTCTTTTGAAGACTTTATAAGACTTTGTTAAGAGTAGTTCCTTGTTACTAGTAATCATAGAGTGTTTTATAAACAAGTCTGTACTGATCAAGGTAACACAACCGCAAACCTCCTCCAAACCTACAGTGGAAGCTAATTGGGCCCCATTTACAAACAGAGTTGTAATTTCCTGCTAATCAAACACATATTTGTTTGAATGCCCCTCAAGTATATGTTTAGTTTGAAAATACCAAAACCATTCCTTTTACAGTTCAAGGTCATGTGAACTCAACACAACAGAAATAGAAGCTTGTTTTGCACATAAGCTTGCTTTGCAACACCCTAAAACAGGGTTTCTCAATCACTGGGCCGAGGACCACAAGAGGGCCGCGAGGCAACCCTCGGTGGTCCTTGGACCTATACTGAGGGGGGGGCAATGATGGCACTTTGTCATAAAAATCAGTGGAGAAAAATTGACTTAACATTAAAAAAAATTATAAAAAGTTTTCAGACAGTTAACATTAATACAAGCCCTGCAATAACAGGGCACAAAGGCGACTTAGTTAATATTTTTTGCCCTTTGCCTTGAGAAACATCTGACCTTTCCGTTGTCCACTCGCACTGATATTCTGCTGATATTTCATGTTCGCTGATACACATCACATATTGCAAGAGCAGCCCCACACATATCACTGTGTTTGAAAATTCCCAAAAATGACATTAAGTCTTTGTTTTCTTGTGGGCCTTCATGTTTTCTAGTGGTGAACAGGTGGGCCTGAGGTGGACTAGGCTGAGAACCTCTGCCCTAAAACTTTTTTGAATTTTTTCTAAACTTACACAGTCAGCCTTGATCCCAAAATGTGTAGTATAAGTGAAAACCCATAGCCAATATGGGCAGACTTTATTCAGTGCTCTCTAGTGTTACATTGGCAAATTTACGTAGTAAATGCAGTTTCAGTAAAACACTAGTAAATTTACACAGCCGTGATATCAGGTACTAGGCAATTTACCATTTTACAGTGTCACAGTGATCATACAAAGCTGAAAAGATTTCTCTTTCTCTCCCTCAAAGACAAAGTTTCATGATCATTTTGGCTTGCTTTAAAACATGGACAACACAGTGAAGTAGTAATGAAGGTGACATTCATTTTTCAGTGAAAAAACATACAAAATCACAAAAGATAACTAAGAAACTGGAGCCTAAAACAGTTCAACTCCTCCGCAATAGTGTCGCTTCTCATAACTTCTGTTTTACAAAAATGAAACGTTGTTAAAATGCTACATAATAACACTTTCCAAGGACAACAGAGCAAAAACAGAAACCTAGTGGTAGTTCTCAACTTGTTTCAGGTTACTTTGGCATGCCACGTCAGTCTTTGATGTCACATTACAGGAATCTTAATCTCCTATTTACCTGCACAATGCTTTTTTTCGGCTCGTAAGGTCATGCACTCGGGTTCCACCAATTGGGTGACCAATCAACTTGCTACCAAACGACTTGGCGAGCCCCTTACATAGAGTTCCTGCCTTCTGAGCAGATGTTATGAGCTACACCTTTGGTTTTCTCGATCCACTGATCCTCTGTTGCTTTGCCCCGGACCCATCGAGCTGAATGCACCCCCCTTTTGACGATCTCATCAATCCGGGTAAACAGCACTGGCTTGAGACAGTGTATCCCAGCACACATATACAGATGGTTTTCAGATCCTTGGCAGCTTTTCAAAGGGAGCTCGGAAAACATACCAAGCAAGCTGAGTCCTGTCGCTTGCCTGACACAGAGGAACTGCTGCAGTCCGAACATTAAATAAAACCTTCTCGTCCCATCGTCGCGTCTAGCTGACCAGGAAAGCACCAAAGAAGCTCGACTTCTCGTCCATGTCGATAGTGCTCACGTTACTGACAGTGACAAACAGCCTGTCACTGCCTGCTAGCTGGAACAAGCCCGCCTGATAGATGGAGTACAGTCCGTACTCCGCGTCCCTGGACCAACAGGTGGTCCGAGCATTCTTCATCAGAAGAATAGGCACTGGGTAGGAACTCACTTTTTTATAAACATACTGCAGCATGGGTTTTCCCCTCGCCGTCTCTGCTGAGGCGCCCTCGTCTTCTCGCTCGTCCTCGTCCTCCTGTATGAGCGTGTGTCTGAAGTAGGTCTGCGAGTAGATGTAGTAAAGCCCGGGCTGCGGCACCACCAGCTCCCCGTCACTTAGTTCCACGTTCTGGAGAAAGGCCAGGCCCTTCTCAGACTCCCAGGACTGGATCTTCTGGCCGTAGACCTTCCTGTTAGAGGGACCTGTAGCAACGAGGCCAGAAAGAAAGATTATTGGGTTGGGTCTGTCAGAAAAGCACCATTGTTTCAACGTTTGGCAGCACAGAGGAAAAGGGATGCCTGTTTCAAAGACTGGGCTCAAGTTACACACCAGCTTTTTTTGTTTTTGGTCAATGCAGTTAAACGGAAAACAATCCTTTTGTTTCTGAAGCGAGGGCAGAGGGTTCCATATTATACAACCTGTCTGTCAATACCTTCGCAAAAAATGAGAAAAGTTTTAAGTGTTGAAATCCTAATCTTCCGAACTGCAAAAGTACCCAGACGGCAATCATTTGAACAGCAATGAGAGCTGCTTTCAGTATTTACAGGCCAAGACATCTTGGGACAGTTTGCATGCAATAAAGATCCAAATTGGTTTGGACTCTGTCCCCAGACAGTCAATACAATAATCCATAAAACAGACTTTATAGTCTATCAACTAAAAGTACTGGTTGTATTAATAAGTCACAGATTTTGTTTTTAGTATCTGGCATTACTTCTTCAGCTCGCCACGTGTCTGAGGATCTACGCAGCCATTTCAGAAACTGAAAAGTGTATTACCAGGTCCCAAAAGGGTTAAAACAACACAAAATATTTGTATAAGACGTACCTCCACCATCTTTGTCCGCATCTGGTATATAGCTGCCTGTAACATGAGCAGCAACTTTGGGCCGAGGGGGAGCGTCTTGGTCTTGGACCACCAAGGAGGGGAGGACTCGGGAGACTTCGTCTGCAAAGAGTCCAGCGGTTTAGCTTCTCATGAATTTTACACTCGTTAGCGCATGAATCAAACCCAAAAAAGAGCTTCTTTCACACGTACCTTTGACGGCTGAGGAGATTTCTTTCTGGTATCGATTAGACATCGACTGTTTAAAGAGAAGAAGAACAGAACAGACATTTTCATGATTAAAATCAGTCAAGCACCTTTTTGGAGTACACTGAGGGTGAGTCTCATTCACAATGTAGCCGAGCATCATTATACAAAAAAAGACTGAAAAAGGGAAAATATAAAAGTGTAGTAGAGAGATTAAAATATGACCAAGAAATGAGCTTTAGACATTAATTATTAAGAAATTTAGAAGTTTTAGTTGATATACAGACATAAAGATGCACTCAGCACAAATTTAATCATACAAATAGGTATGCATGTTTTCTGTATTTGTTGTACATGTTCTGCTATGAACTTTTTTCCTATTTTTATTTATTTATTATTTATTTATTTATTAATTTTTAAGTATTTTTTCCCTAACCAGGGACTGGGGCTGCAAATTAGCTTAAGCTAGATGCCCTATATACATTACGTGTTGCATTCTATGTAGCAATGTTTATCTGTATTGTACTTGTAAAATAAACAAATAAAAAAAGATTATTAATATTATAGTATGATTAACAGTATGTAAAAATAAAAATGAGAAATAAATAAGACAAATCAGTATAACCTATTAACTATTAAACAGATTAAGTAATTAAAACAGTAATAAAAGTAAACAAATAAAACTACTGAGTAGAGTGAGAACAAAAATACTAAAACAGTTACAGTAATGATAGAATGATAAAAATAAGTAAAACAAATGACAATTTAAATGGTACAACCACTAAAATAGATAATATAGAATACAATTAATTATATATTTAAAGAAAAGCAGATCAAAAAGCAGATCAAGGTGATTTAGCCCACTTTGAGTGAAAAATCTAACAGGCTAACTGACTGAGAGTTTTTGCTCACCCTGCTGAAAAAGGACTATTAGAAAGCATTAGGATTAAAATCTAATGGTTTTGATTTCCGAAGGAAACTGGCTTAATGTTTTCTAAAAAAGACCACCCGTGTCCTGTAGAACACCTTTAGATCCTATTAGGAAACCATCAAATGCATTTAGAATCAGCCAGTGGTCACCTGTTACACCATATGGTTCCATATATGGAAATGTAAACAACCGTACATGTTATATCTTTTATATTATAACATATTACTGTACAAAAACTGTACATTGGAATGGTGCAATACTGTGTATATTGTGTATAGGTGTATATATTTAGAGTCTAATGTGAGTGTGTATATATATATATACACACACATACAAATTGGAAACTTTACTTTTACTTTGTAAATGTGATGTGACAATAAATGTGATTTGATGTCATTTGATTTTGATTAGAATCCTTTACACTGTGATATCAATCCATTACAAAAGCCAAAACACACAACAGAACTATCAGGAACCAACAGAAACACTTAATGGGTTCTATGTTTTTTTCAGCAGGGCACTTTGATTTCATATGTCGTCTGTCCAGCCTGCTAAATTCCTTAAGTAATTAAAAAGGGGTAAAGGTATCTCAGCCCTAAATGGGCTCATTGTGTCTGCATCCTGGCCCCCTCCGAAGCTGATACCTTTTCTATGAGAAAGTGGAGCTGTTGCGTGACTTGCCAGCAGGGGTCGTCTTTTCCCTCCGCAGCGCCGACATCCAAACCCTTAATGGACCTGATGTTGGCGCGCATCAAACAGGACACACTGCTCTTGGAGAACGTCTCCTTCATCTGGGAACGAGGGGGAAACATCGCCTTCAGTACAATCAGCACAAACATACGGAGAAAGGAACGTTTTCTCTTTCATCTATTTTCGAGCGCGAGCCCAGATGCGCGTTTGAAGCGTCGCTTTCGTTTTGGTTGCAAAACAGCGCTGAAACTCTGAGTTGTGTAAGAATAAAGTTAAACACTGAGCTTCTTCTTGGCCTCTAAATCTGCTCCCAATCACACTCGCGTTTGCTTCACGCTCTTGGGTTCTTTGCGGGTTCTTATTAGAACCATTTCATGCTTCTTAAATGGTTCTTTGCGTTCTTCAGTTTGATGGAGAATGTGTTCTGTATAGCACCAAAAAGGTAAAGACAGTGGTTCTACATAGAAACATGAACACTCAAAGTAACCCTTTCCATGCTTAAATGGTTCTCTGCATGGTGAAATGGTTCTTCAGACTGATGGTATCAACATAGCACCCAAAACGTTTTTGATATTTTTTTTTTCAATGTCAGGCTTGTAACAACAGAACCCTTTTTGGTGCTATATAGAACCGTTCTCCAATCTGGAGAACCTTTTCGCCATGCAAAGAATAATTTAAGCATGCACATGTTTCTCATGGTTCTAAACAGAACCACTGCCTTTACTGAGGAACCCTTGAAGAAGTTTGCACTTAAACTTCAGGCTCGTCTATGAATGGATGAAAACACATCCAAAACTATCATATTCATAACTTGTAGTAACTTTCTGTGAGGGAGCTTTTAGAGGTGGACGTCTGGTTCCTATCACCACCACTGTAAACAAATCTGACTCAAGTTTTTCTAGAACTTAGCGTTTCACACCAAACCACCCCGAATGCCTTTGTTTACATCTGAACCATTTAATTATGTAGAATTTTTCGAAAAATCGGTGGAGCTTCCCTTTAAACCTCAGCTAGGCTCCACTGGGCGACCTGTTGGAGAGCGTCCAGGCAAGCAAGCGAGCGACGAGCTGAGCTCAACGCGCACAAAAAGCAAAGCAACTTTATTTTCTCCAACACACACTTACACTCCCACACACACACACACACACTCACTAAACTGCCTTCCACACACACACTGCCTCCTCCAAACGCTCCACACTGCAGTTCTCCGTGCCTGTAGACGGTCAGCGCTGCTGCTGCATGGAAAAAAGTTCCAACATGGATCCTTACCGTCGTCAAAACGTTGCTGAAGTATATGAAGGTGACAGCCACTGCGATCGTCTGCAGCAGGATGGCAGCCAGCAGCAGAAGTCCGATGTACTGCATTGTATGTGAGCTTGTCATGCTGATTCGTTGCGTGCGGTGCAGCAGCCCGAGACAAAAGCTGGAGCTGAATTCTTTGCCCTCAGTACATATGAAACACACACACACACACACACTTAGACACACTCCGTGGAGGCGGAGCAGGGCTGACTATCAAGGAAACACGAAGAGGAACATGCAGGCTGCCTTTTCTCCCCAACCTCATTCAGGCCTCTCTCGCTTTCCTGGATTGCACCGTGTTCATCTGCCAGAAATGAAAGCAGGCTGACAGCTGGATGCTGCTTCTTCATCATATCTGTGTAGACATGAGGCTGATGAAGTCAGGGCCCTTGTTTTTGACTCGCTGACCGTTCCCATTGTTCTGCTTGAGAGCGGCCAAAATGGAGAGAGTGCTCGGCTAACATGTGGTTGCAATCGAGCCTCTTAGGAGCTTTCTGGGGAGTATTGTTCTTCAGTGTGGCGTTCTGCAGGGGATGGAGGTTTCACTCATGATTTATTGAGCTTTATTCTCCCCTGTCAGCCTCGGATGGCGGGTCCCGGCGGGGGCCCCCTCGAAACAGACGTTCTGCTCTCAAGCCAGGCCGAAAACAGAAAAAACGAAAGGTGTTTTTGGTCGGCGAACAATCACGTTACCTCGCTATTCGATTACCGCCTCTGAAACCTGCTTAGTCCCATTGCGAATGCTTTCCAGACAAACCCCCCCCGAGTCATTCTATTCAAACCATATGGCTTTATAAGGCCTTCGCCGTGATTTGATTTGACGCAGAGAACAGTGCTGCTTCTATATGGTTCTGATACGCCTCTATTATACTTAAATACATAATGAGTGATTGTGTGCTGCTCTTATGAGAATATTTTGCTTCCAACAAAACATATTGTACTTAAATTTGGAGTCACGTTGCAGCCAAATGGGTGGTTGGCTTTGGCCTTGGCTTTGGCTTTGGCCATGTACACTATTAATTGCCCAGCCCTACACCCCTAAAAAACATTGTTCTTCAAGGGTTCTTTGGTAAAGACAACAACCATGAACATTCTGAACCATTTGCATTGTTCTTTGCATGGTGGTTCTTTGCATGGTGGTTCTTTAAATGGCTGGTTGGCTTTGGCTTTGGCTTTGGCTTTGGCCATGTACGCTATTGAAAAAGATGGTTCTGCAAGGGTTCTTTAGTGAAGACAACAACCATGAACACTAATGGTTCTTTAGTAAAGGCCAACTTATTAAACCGCTAAAAAAAGAAATATCACGATTGTGAAAATGTCTTTAAGTATCACGATATATTTCTGCTGTATTGCCCAAAACTACACTCTTAAAAAAGATGGTTCTGCAAGGGCTCTTTAGTAAAGACAACAGTTATATAGAACCATGAACACTCAAAGAAGCACTTGCATGCTTAAATTGTTCTTTGCATGGTGAAATGGTTCTTCAGATCCCTCTCTGGGATGCTCTTTTATACCCAATCATGTTATTGACCTGTTGTCAATCAACCACCAGGTTTAGCATTACACAACCTTTGTTGTCCCCGTCTCAACTTTTTTGGAACGTGTTGTTGGCATCAAATTCAAAATGGGCAAATATTTTTCAAAAAACTATAAAATTTCTCCGTTTCAACATTTGATATGTTGTCTTTGTACTATTTCCCATTAAATATAGGGTTTATATATAGGATTTTGTTTTATTTACATTTTGCACAGCATCCCAACCTTTTTGGAAATGGGGTTGTACATCATTTTCTGAGTGTACTGTGTTCTCCATGACAGAACACTAACTGCATATTCTAATAATAAAGACATTAAAAAAAGCCCCCAGCTGTCTAAGATTTCTGTCTATCACAAGTTTGAATTCTGATGATGCTGCAAGTCCAAGACAGTATAATAGACCTTTCCTAACTGGGAGCAGTGCAGTGCTGTACCACTATTGTGTTATAGTTCTTTAGTAAAGACAACAACCATGAACTCTCTGAACCATTTGCATGGTTCTTTGCAGGAGATGAAGAGGGGTTCACCACTCTGTGAAAGACTGCATGAGCAAATAGTGCAACAATTCAACAATAATGTTTCTCAAGATAAAATAGCAAAGAACATTTGTTTTTCTTCATCTACGGTGCATAACATCATTAAAAGATTCAAAGAATCTGGGGAAATCTCTGTACACAAGGGACAAGGCTGAAAAGCAGTATTTGCTGGCCATGATCTTTGGGCCCTCAGGCAGCACTGCATTAAAAGCAGACAGGATTCTGTAGTGGAAATCACTGCATGGGCTCAGAAACACTTCTGAAAACCACTGTCTGTGAACACAGTTTGTCGCTGCATCCACAAATACAAGTTAAAATTCTAAAACGCAAAGAAGAAATCATATATAAACAGGGTCCAAAAATGCTGCCACCTTCTCTGGGCCTGAGCTCATTTAAAATGGACTGACATGTCCTCCACGCTAAAGACCACTCAGCTTGTTATCAGTGCACAGATCAAAAGTCAGTATTTATGATGGTATAGGGGGGCATTAGTGCACATGGCATGGGGGACATGCACATCTGTGAAGGCAACATTAATGCTGAATGATATATACAGGTTTTGGCCACATACACTGCCATCCAGACAACGTCTTTTTCAGAGAAGGCCTTGTTTATATCAGCAAGACAATGTCAAACCACATTCTGCATGTATTACAACAGCATGGCTCTGTATTAAAAGAGTCTGGGTGCTAAACTGACCTGCCTGCAGTCAAGATCTGTCACCACTGAAAACATTTGACGCATTATGAAATGAAAAATATGACAAAGTAAACCCCGAACTGTTGAGCAGCTAAAATCCTATATCAAACAAGAAGGGGAAAACATTTCACTTTCAGAACTACAGCAGTGTCTCCTCAGTTCCCAAACGCTTACAGAGTGTTGTTAAAAGTAGAGGTGGTGAAACACAGTGGTAAACACACAGTGGAACGTGTTGTTGGCAACAAATTCAAAATGTGCATATATTTTTTCAAAAAACAACACAACCTCTCAGTATCAACATTTGATATGTTGTCTTTGTAGTATTTTCCTTCAAAAATATGGTTCACAGGATTTGCACATCATTGCATCCTATTTTTATTTACATTCTGCCGGCGTCCCAACTTTTTTTGGAAATGGGGCTGTAATTGTGATAACAATATCATATCACCCTCTCCGAGTCCTGTCTTGTGACTTTTACAGACGCCTGTCAGCAGTTGCGAGGTCTGAGTGGGTTTCAGTCCGCTCGCAGGTTCTGTCTCGTAAGCAAGAGACTTTTGCCCACTAAGCTCTTTTCTCGGCCTTGTTTTTCACCACATGTGTCATGGCCAGATTAAATCAGCAACCCCTAATAAACAGCAGATGAGGAGAAATGACCAGAGCTCTCATGGGACAGTCACTTGGGGACTTCCCGTAAAACACAGGTAGTCAGCACAAAGCTGACAGAAGAGAAAATGGCCCTCCAGACCAGAGTTCAGATGGAGGAACACTGCAGCCGCACAAGATGATGCATCAATGACAGCGCAATGAGGAACATATACTGCCGGTCAGACGCTTTGCTTTTAATACAAAATGAAGCCACTGAGGAATAAATAGTGTTTAGAGTCATCATAACCTTACGTTTTCAGTGTGAAATGGGATTGGGGGGTTTTTATAATGTAAATTTTATCCAAACTCACAACTGTAGCTATGAAAGGATGTGTTTGTGGGTGGAACATAGATCGGTCAGTTAGCAGCGTTATTTAGTGAGTTTCCTGTAACAACATATTACAGACTAAGCAGGTTTGCTTAGTATATGTCATATGTAATCATGTGATATTGTAAATAATAAAACTTGGGCGATTAATCAAATTTTATTATTAGTTACAATTCTGGCTTCCAATGATAGATAGATAGATAGATAGATAGATAGATAGATAGACGGACAGACTGACAGACAGATAGACAGATAGATAGATAGATACTTTTTTAATCCCAGAGAGAATTAAATCTGTCGTCTATTACAGCTGCACAAAGTACAGTACAGAGCAAAATAACGGCAAAAGAATAGTCATACGCTAATATACAGAAGCATAAATAGAAGAAGTAAAGATATATAATAAAATATACTAAAACTTAAAACCACAAAATATAATGTGCAGTATGAAAATAAGTACAAGAATAAGTAAAGTAAAAAAGATAATCAAGATGATTATTTTGCCGTGTTCCGTTTTACAATGATGCTCTCGTTTTGTCTTGTGTTATAAATCCATAAATCCTTTTTGCATCCCTCCCTAAAAGCCCAAGCTGGTCTATTTTATTTTTATCTATTATTTTTATATATGTTTAGTAGTTTTCAGCATAATTGATCTCATTTGTTTTTATTTATTAATTTTATATTATTTGTTTAAATGTCTGCCCTGTGATGGACTGGCGACCTGTCCAGGGTGTATCCTGCCTTCCGCCCAATGACAGCTGGGATAGGCTCCAGCACCCCACCGCGACCCGGAAGGATAAGCGGTTTAGATGATGTATGTATGTATGTATGTATGTTTAAATGTATATATTTACATATTATACATTACTTATTTTATTTATGTATCTTTTTTACATTTCTAAATTTATATATATATATATATATATATATATTATATATAAAGGTCAAAGAAATCCACTGTTAAAAAGAGGTTTTTTTCAAGTTCAGTAAATGCATGATGTTTGAGACAATCAGTAACTGTGTTAAATAATTGGCCAAAATAATTGTGATTATGATTTTCGCCATAATCGAGCAGCCTTACTTTGCAGGCATTTTTCCTTATTAACTAACCCAACCAAGCTCTGCCCACAAATGCATCTTTACATAACAGCTGTTGTAAGGTTGGTGAAGCTCGGAGTTTAAAGCCTAAAGAGTTGTAACTAATTGAAACTTGGCAGGTTGGAAACCACAAGTTTGGCACCATCCTAACCCTCAATTACATGACAAAACCAATCCATCCCAGCAGTGCGGCCTTTAGCACACATACTAAATACTTATCATTTGAAATGATATGGGAGATTAATGGGAGCTTTGCCAACTTTCTGTACTGTAAAACTAGAGGGTGGAGCACGGACAGGTCAACTGGAAACTAACAGTGAAAATGAAATCATACTTGAAAGATTTCAAGAAAAGGCAAGTTTTCTCCCAGCGTTTGTTGGTTAGTGACCATGCTGAGAAAATGACACTGTTTATTCATCTACCAAATGTAGATCATTTGCTATATTAACATGAACAATGCGTACTGTATACGAAACAAAGCCCTCGCAGGCAGAACAATGGACGTAAAAACCCACTTTGTGCTTTTTAGAGCCTCCTTTTTCACAGTGACTTATTCCCTT